TGTCTTGGGACAGCAGGTCCAGCCAGAGAGGTAGCCGCAGCGGAGCGGTTACCAAAAGGTCCAGCAGCATGCCAAACCAGTGTTGGTAAGGCCACTCGGGAGCTATCAGGATAACCTTCGCCCTGTCCTGTTTGAGTCATGAGGACTCTGTGGATCAACAGCACTGGCAGGAAGGCATACATCAGGGCCCCCGACCATGGAAGAAGGAAAGCATCTGACAAGGAACCACTGTCCATCTCCCAGAGTGAACAGAACACGTGGCATTTCCTGTCCTGACGGGACGCGATCAAGTCAACCTGGGGAGTTCCCCACTTTTGGAAGATGATACTGACCGCCTCCAGATGAAGTGACCATTCGTGGCGAGACGAGAAGGTCCTGCTGAGGCGACCTGCTAACACATTCCTGGTCCCGAGCAGGTGCACGGCTACCAGATGAATGGCATGCCACACACAGAAGTCCCAATGGCGGAGAGCTTCTTGGCAAAGGGCCAACGAAGTCGCTCCACCCTGCCTCTTGATGTAATACATTAAAGCAGTTTTGTCCATGAGGACCTGCACCACCTTGCCCTTCAGGTGGGGCAAGAAAACCTGGCAGGCCCATTATGAAACGGAGCAAACATCTGTGACCTTAGAATATGGAAATAGGCGTCCTTCAAGTCCAGGACAGAGTACAAGTCTCCCAGATCCAGGGAGTGGATGATGGAGACCAGGGAGACCATGCGAAAATTCAACTTCCTGAGAGACTTGTTGAGGCATTGCAGGTCCAGAATAGGTCTTAGGCCCTCTTTTGCTTTCGGGATTAGGAAATAACAGGACTAGAATCCATTTCTTGTCATGTCCCAAGAGACCTCCTCCACCGCCCTCATGTCCAGAAGATTCTCAACCTCTTGAATGAGGACTTGCTCATAAGAAGGGTCCCTGAAGAGGGACAGGAAAGACGGTGGAGGGAACAAGGGAGGGCAGCAAAAACTGCAGGGTGTAGCCTTGAGCCACTATCTCCAGCGGTCAGAGGTGACCAGTGAGCAGGCTGAATGGTAGGGATGAAGACAGTTGAGGAAAGAACAAGCTGGATCCTGGGAGGTGATTGGGGCGTCGCTCTTAACCACACCCTCAAAACGAGCGCTTTTGGCCCCCAGGGTGCTTTGCCCGACCTGGCTGCGCAAGTGAGCAGTAAGAGGAAGGGCAGTGGTGGATGAAACTAACATCCCTGTCCCTTCTCCTTGCAGACTCTGGACGAGGCTGCCAAGGTCTTGGCGGCCGGAACTGCTTTCTTGCAGACTGAGGCATATGCATGCCCAACAAGCAAAGGGTGGCCTCAGTGTCTTAACCCATGCAATCTCGCACCCTGGGCCAAACCCTGCAGAAGGGACTCCTTGAATTTATGGAGGGAGTCCCATAAATTGAAATTGTATCCCTCTAGGAGTGCCTGATGGCTTGCCACCCGGGATTGTAAGCTTGCAGTAGAATAAAATTTTCCTCCCAAACAGCTCCAATCTTTTGGCTGCTTTATTTTTGGAAGTCGAGCTGGTATGCCCTAGTTTATCTTTTTCATTGTCCGCAGAGACTACCAGCAAGCCTGGGGGAGGGTGGTTGTAAAGGTACTCAAACCCTTTGGTTGGGACAAAGTATTTCTTTTCAGCCCTTTTAGAGGTGGGAGGGACGGATGAAGGAATTTGCCAGAGGGCCTTGGCAATTTTGAGGACACCGTCATACACTGGTAGTGCAACACGGGCTGGGGTAGAGCTGACAGGACACTAAAAAAGGTGTCTCCCTGCTTGGCCATTTCCTCCAGCTCCAGGCCCAAGTTCTTGGCCACCAGTCAAAGTAGGGCCTGCTGTACTTTAAAATCATCTGGAGGCTAGCTCTCGAGGGTCCTGCAACCGCCTTGTCTGGGGATGAAGATGACGACTGTACCACAGGGGGAGGGAGGCTTACGGATGGGTGCAGTTTCCTCTACCTTGACCTACGAGCACGCCTCATGCACCAAGCCTGGTACCGTTGGTGCCGCCAACTCTTGCGTCGAGGCAGCAGCAGATGAACGGTGCAAAGGGGGCACTGCCATGACCGGCACCCCTCCTGCACTCCAATAAGGTCACTGTGCTGGCCACTGGCTGTGCTGCCAAGGCAGCGCCGTCAATGTCGACGCAGCCTCGCGTGTCCATTCATACCGGTGGAGTCTAGGCAAGGGGCTGAACTGCACTTCCATGCCAGAGGAATCCCCTTCCAGTGACCAGGGTGGGTCAGTCGATGCCGGAGTCTGCCTGCTGACTGTCGCTGGAGACCAGTACCCAGAGTGCGGCTGTTGCCCTGGATTTGAGGGGCGTATATAACCCAGAATGTGATCAAGTTAATTGCAACCATATTATGTGCACTCAGCCACTATGAATTAATGAAATAGAACACCACATAGTTAAAGGTTAATTTGGAGACAGGCTTTCAGAAACAAGGTCATAACTACTGGCAGTTTTGCTAATCACTATGGGAGGAGGGGAAGAAAAAGTAAACAGAGTGAAAGAAGAGATGTGGATGGACAGCCATGCGTCTAGATGCCTCTGATAGTAAAAGTTTATTGAAAGTTAGGAAAAGTGATGGGTCATTATGACCTATGTGTTTTGTAGAAATTAATTATAAAAAACTTAGCTAATAGAGTGTATTTGGGAGCAGTCCTTGGGAGCCATCCTGGGAGAGATGTTTTCCTGATATCTTTACTCCGTGGCAGGAAGGTGTTTGGCCAACACTGACCTGTCATTGATTACTCAGTACCATCTCAGAATATAAGTAAACATCTGGGATGTTTTAAACCTATTGCTTATGTCTGTGTGTGTGCTTAAATCTAATAAAATGCAGTGTTAGACAAGAGCATGCTTACTTACATTATTCTTTCATCAGACAGAACTGCCGAGTTCCTGTGGATTTATTCCTTACACTGCCTGGAGTGAAACAGGTAAATTGCCCCTGTTGGGGATTCTGACATCCCCATGTAAGGAGGAGATCAGTGCCAGTATCGAGGGGACCAGTGCTGGGGGACTGGAGACATGATGGAGAGCGCTCCCATGGGGTAGGCGACCAGGACCTGCACTGAGAGGAAGACTGGCAGGAGGTCGAACAGTACCAGTAGTATGGAGACCAGTCTCCCTCTCTAGGCAATCCGCGTTGAGATGGCAGGGAGCGCGATTGCGGTGACCGAGGGCGAATCCCAGAGGATTTGGGCTGCGACTCCAGCTATCTATGGTGTGGAGGTGGAGAGTGCTGCTTTGTCTCAGGGGATTGGTGGCGCTCCACTTCCCAGAGGGGTCTTCGCGACTGGCTTGCCCTTGTGGGAAGTCTTTGCCAATACCTGCCACACATGCTGCATCGGCGGTGTAGGCGGAGACCTCTGCTCTCTTGCCACTGTGGGAGCTTGTGAAGGTGTTAGTGACATCAGTGGTTTAGGTCCCATGCCACTCCTGACAGTCGCTGGTGGACCTTTTAAGGGGGCTAAGGGCCCCGACTGGGGAGGCACGAACGCATGGCTCCAACGTGGGTCCCTTGCCCGATCACCTATGGCCCTTCTTGCTTGGTGCTGGGAAGCTGTGTTTCTCGCCTTCTTTTTGGGCACTGGCGACATGGAATGGTACTTGGCAAGTCCTGGCAGGACAGCACGGACGCCGGATTCCATGAGGAGAGCCTGTAAACAAATAACTCGCTCTTTCTACATGCGGGGCCGAAAGTTTTTACAAATACAGCACTTATGTCTCACATGTGATTCCCCCAAACACTTGACGCTGCTGCTATGGGGGTCACTTATAGGCATAGGCCTGTTACAGTCCACACAGGGCTTAAACACGGGAAAGTGGGGCATGCCCCACCTGGGACTAAACTTCTAACTACACTTAACTACTTAAAACTAACTACTATAAACAAACTATTTACAAGGCCTTAAGGCTCAAAGTCAGTAAAGATGAAAAACTATGGCTATGCAAGGAAAAGCACTCCAACTAACCACCACGGGCAGTAAGAAGGAACTGAGAGGGCGCCTGATATACTGACACATGAGCGTGGTACTCCAGGGGGCGCCACTGCTGACCCTACTGATATAGCTAAGACTAAATACTCCAGCGACTGTGCATATGGGCATGCACACACCTCGAATGGAATTGACATGAGCGAGCACTGGAAGAAGAGTAAAAAATAAGTAAAGTTCCATTTTCTTTCCTTCCTCTGTGTTTGTGTGCTACATAAGAAGAGATGGACAGGAAAGCAAAGGTAGCATGAAGCCTAATTTCAAAAAGCAGCATTGAGTGTCTAGACACTCAATCTCCTTGTTGAACAGTGGTGTGGAGAAAGAAGAGTCAGTGAGGTATTCTGAGTAGTTAATTTAAGGAGAGAACAGCTGGCTGGCGAAAAAGACACTTATGAGCAGAAAATTTACTTATTAAGAACTGTGACTCCTGTAAACCCTTCACTGGTCATGACTACATTCAAGCAAAATCAAATTCAATACTATAGATTATGTCCTCAGTTTTGGAAGCATGGAACTGAAATTCTCCTTAGGGGCCTGACTGAACTCACTGAAGTCAACAGAAAGGCTTTCACTGCATGCAGCGGGTACTGCATCAGGCCCAAGATATTGCAATTACTGTAAATACAACCAAAACGGTCAAATTCGGCACAGAATCACTATACTCTAAAATTAGTAATCTCCCTCTCCCTCCCCCCCCCCCCACCCAAACACACACATGCATGTCAATTCAGAGATCCAGAAAGAATCCCCAACCACTGGAACACAGGACAGAATTCTATTCAGAGGTTTTTTCTGTTTGTTTGCTTTTTGTTTAAGGGAGAGGATGTTATTGGGTGTTTCCTTTTCTTTATCTGCTGGTAGGAAGAAAACACAAAACACAATTATAGTAGACATAGAAAATGGAAGTTACCTGCTCTTCGGAGACTCTCTCCTAAACTTAAACAGCATAATTTTCAACAAGAAATATGGTAACAACTCTTAATAATTATTGCCCTTACCATAGTCAGCCCAGGTTGCATTCCTGCACGTATAGCCTCAATCTGAGTATGAGTAAATTGAATAGTATTCCTGTAACGAACAAAAATAAGTTCAGTAAATGCAGAAAATATAAAAAAGGTGTTTTTAAAGGGACTGTCTACATGGGGCATTCAAAAAAATTAATCCAAATTAACTAAAGGTCTGAATTTAAAATGGATTAGCTAAACCGCATTAAACTCCTGTGGACACTCACTCACTCAATTAAGCGGCCTTAATTCAGTCTTCAGAGTAGCAGCCATGTTAGTCTGTATCCGAAAAAAGAACAGGAGTACTTGTGGCACTTTAGAGACTAACAAATTATGCTCTAATAGATTTGTTAGTCTCTAAGGTGCCACAAGTACTCCTGTTTTAATTCAGTCTAGCTCACTTCTACTACCTACTGAAATAAATAAATAAACAAATAAATATAGAATAAATATTCTCTGATTGTTTTATATGCAGAAATTATTTCTGATTGTGTAACCAAACCAATATGGAAACTCATTTGCAACCTACAACAAACTGTTAGGTCTCCCAGACACTGGACTGTTACTTATGTATTTGCATAGGCACAAAGTTATAACAGTATTACCGTTTGGGTTGATTGTATGGATATGGTCCCCTATTGGGAATAACATGAGGTTCCACAATTAAGGTTTTAGCTTCTTCAGCCTTTTCTTCATTCCCATCCTCTTCTTTCCGTTTCTTCCCTTTTCCTCCCCTTAGTGGGAAAGTTATCCTGTAAAACATATTTGTAAAGTTTCAACTTCATTTCCTTCACAAGTAGGTCAGATAGTCTTTCATATACATTTTTAGAGCTCCATCAAATGACATGGCACTCTATATACATAAATAAGCCAGTCCATTTCCCAAAGATCTTACAACCTGTAAGACAAAACTCAACACTAGACCGGGTTGGAAAATGCTGATTCATTGGAGTCAAATGTTTCACCAAGTCTATTCCCCACTTGGGAGTAGGACAACCTGTGCAGCCAGCTGCCCCAGAAGTCTGAAAACCCTGGGGTCTTCAACACTGGGCAGTCCACATGGCCCCAGACCCTGGGAGCCAGCCCTAAAACTTCTAGGCTCCAAGCTCCACAGCAGGGACTCTGGAAGCTCTGGTTCAAGCAGGGAGCCTAGCAGCCCTGAAAGTGCCAGCAGAATGAAACTGACATTCTTTTCAATTTTATGGCTACTATTCAGGAAGTAGCAATTAGGAAATTGACATGAATGTCAATTTCATTCAGTTGGTCTCAGGAACACAGTATTTTGGTGTTTCCAAAACCAATTTTTCAGGCATCTCTGGTTTGCCAAGGAATTTTGGTAATTTTGGTTTGGTTCCAAATTTGAACCAAAAACAAATCTGGAAATACCAAAACTTCTCCTGAACCAAAACCGGAGTTTCGGCCAGCTCTACTCAAGACAAGACAATTGTACAACAATCCAGGAGAGAGAAAATGTGGGATTATTGATGAGGCACAAAAGGATGTGGTTGAAGAGGTTGGTTTTAAGGAGTAACAGAGGTCGAGAGAACGTGTACTTTGCAAATGAGGACAGGGAAAGTGTTTTAGTCATAAGACATGGGGTAGAAGGTAGAGAATTGGAAAAGGAGATAATATGAACAAATAGTTAAGGTGAGATACTATGGAATAATACAGAGGGAGTGGGGGAGCAGAGATGTAGGTATGGGTCAATATAAACTAATGATAGAAAATAATAGACACTCTACAGACAGAAGCAATGGACTCTTCTGTAAACATTGGTGATACTTCACTCCTTGTAGTAGTGTCTCCTTTGCAGATCACCTACATTATTTTTAGGACACTAGCACAAGAGCTCCTGCATCCTCCAATTCCATTTAATATTGTATTTGACAGACACCTCTTCATGGTACAGCATATTAGTAAGAAATATCTTTACAATGTAATAGGACAATAAATTAAGGTGAAGGGCTTCTTTTTGTGGCAAGGGCTGTGTAAATCAAAGGAGAAATCCGTGATAGGCAATAAGTGCTCTCATCTTCTCTTTATGTGGAGACTACATCTATCATCAGATGTTACAGATGAAGCAGCATTTTGAAAGCCTTTAATGGACTTCTATTCCTCTAAAGTCAGGAAATCCTTACAATTCATTTCCCAAGAGAAATTAAAATAAAGATTACATGGCATTTTGAGATTTATTCGAATGAAACTACAGAATGCAATTTCTAGATGTTAAAACAGGGGTTCTCAAACTGGGAGTCAGGACCCCTCAGGGGATCGTGAGGTTATGGGGGGGGGGTCGTGAACTGTCAGCCTCCAACCCAAACCCCACTTTGCCTCCAGCATTTATAGTGGTGTTAAATATATTAAAAAGAAGTGTTTTTAATTTATAAGAGGGGGTAGCACTCAGAGGCTTCCTATGTGAAAGGGGTCACCAGTAAAAAAGTTTGAGAGTCACTGTGCTAGAACATATCATCTTGCACCTCACCCACTGGTTGTATACAGTTTCTCACACATATATATTTTCCCATTATTATATTGCACCTCCCTTTCTCCCCAACTTATTCCATCACCTTATACTTAGACTAAGATCTTAGATCCAGGAATCATCTTTGTGTGTGTGTATAGTGCCTAGCACAATGGGGCCCTGCATCCTTGACTGAAGCTGCCAGCCATGACCATAATACAAATAGATAATAAGTAGTCTGGGTGCCTTATTCTACATTGCCCACTACAGATCCATAAGATACTGTCTTTCTCCCCCACTTTACATCCTTCAAAACTCATGTCTGCCAAAACACACATCTAATTAAATGATAGCTAGACTGACAGATAGGAACAATTGACACTTTTTATATTTATGATAGAAAAGATGTCAAATGTAAAAGATATACACACACACACAGATTGTAACCCCACCCTTCATATATCATTTTCCCCTATAGACTGTCAATTGTTTGGGTCAGGGACAATGTTTTCATATACATGTATATAGGGTGTGGCACAATAACATCCTGATCCTAATTTTGGCCTTTGGATGCCACTTCAATATTACATATTAATAATACATTACAATAGCAGCTCTTACAAGCTATTTTCTCAGGCAAAAGAACATACTTGAGTCACTGAACTAAACTGACTTAGTTTTCCAGTACCAGCTTCACTATAGTACTTTTTAGGAATAAAACTGAAATGACTTAGATTTATACCATGATTTAATTGGAGAATTATCTGTTCAGACTATCTGAGACCAAGTACATCTGAGATTCTTAGATCACCTGAAAGGGGGTTTCTGTAGAGCTGGATTGTCAACAGTTACTTTTATGTTATATCCAGGAAAACTGGCTTTTAAGTGATCAATGGATAGGAAGGTGTCATTAAAATCCAGAGAAGAAATCTGATTTGGCATTTTTGAATAATGAGCGCTGCTTGGGTCTCCATATCCAAGGATGATGTCATGCAACCAATCAGGAACCACACAGTCTGTGTTCATCAGATTCCTAATAGTCTCCAGAACAGCCTGTGAGTGACAAAACAGAAGATGAAACAGTAAAAGTGACATCCTTTATCATCACAATATAACAAACTGAAGATTAATTCTCTGAACTACTCCAGCATCCCAGTGTGTTTCAGAGAAAAAAAAAAGTTATTTTCCACTGGACAGGTGTTTGGTTAGATTGAATCAGTTGCTATATTTTCTGCTGATGTCATTACATAGCCTGTTCAACAAAATGTCAATATTCAAGCAGAACAGTCTAAATACTGAACTATCCTATTAGTGAGAGCTAATTTAGCCCAAATGAAACAATGGATTATTTGGTTCACAATGGTGTCTGTACAGTGCCACCAATCATCATCATCATCGAAGTGCCAGAGGTCTTAGAAGTGTGATTATTTAAAAGTGGCACTTTGATGCTGTAACTGTGTATCCTGTGTGTTTGACCATTATATGCTGAATTTACTAATAATGACACTTTTCTTTTCTCAATATTGCAAAGCAAATATACTGTATCTACAGATGGGCATGCTGTATTTTATTCTGCTTCAAACATCAGAATCGAAATTTCCAGGAAGTTTTTATTCCAGAATCCTTATGGATGGGAAAGGTGTCAGAAGCAGAAAAACATGGAAACAAAACAAAACACATACAAAATTCTTTTGAGATATAAGTTACAGACCAGAAATAAACTGGGAACACAAGGATGAGATAGCCTTATTTTTATAACAACTGTTCCATTTAGAAACTACTGATCTTCCTATTCAGTGTTTCCACTAACCTGAGGTACGATAAAAAGAAAAGGAGTACTTGTGGCACCTTAGAGACTAACCAATTTATTTGAGCATGAGCTTTCGTGAGCTAGAGCTCACTTCATAAGTGAGCTGTAGCTCACGAAAGCTCATGCTCAAATAAATTGGTTAGTCTCTAAGGTGCCACAAGTACTCCTTTTCTTTTTGCGAATACAGACTAACACGGCTGTTCCTCTGAAACCTGAGGTACGATGTAATTTAATGCTTGAGCACTGTTCCAGTACTGTACGTTTTGGAGTTGTGGATCCCTCAGGATGACTTTTTTTCATAATTCACTTAACAGTCTAGTACCAGTGTCCCTGAAAAGTTATTAATCTAAAACTAGTCCTTAGCTCAAAAAGCAAAATTATATGAGCTGTGTAAAGCTGTCTGCCCTCCTAAGCATCATCTGAGTGCATACAATACACACGGTACAAGTACTCAGAGGTTTAAGCCAATTGAGAAGCACAAATCAGCAGGAAACATCTGGAATTTCATTCTGGGTATAAATGACAGGTTTCCTGGCTCATAAAGCAACTTAAATGCATATTAGGAGTAGGTCAATTTATAATTCTTATTTCACTTCTCTCAACTTTAATAGCCCACGGTATCAGGAGGACAAGCAACTCAAAAGAGAAATCGGAAGAGCTTGTAAAGTTAAGGACTGGTTTATATTCATTACTTCACAGAGATGCCAGTACACGATGCCTTAGATGCTTCCTCAAACTTCTTCTGAGATGAGTCAAAAGCAGATAAAATGTCACATCTAGAGGATAATGATACTTAATGATGGGAGAGAGAAAGGAATAGATTGTGTGGTTTTGCATAATTTTGAACTTAGTGAGATCTTATTTCTCAGAAGCAGCACAACTAATTACAACACAGGGATATCCCAGATTATCCTTCTAAATGGTTATATTCAGTCTTTGGGTGGAAAGTGTAGAAATATGTTCCTAATATTAGTGGGGGACCTAATGTTAAATATTACTTTGATGAATTATTCACAATGTCTGTGCACGTAAACTTGGTAAAATAATCCAAGTAAGATAACACTGCTGACCGAGAAGTGCTGACTATCATATCTAGCCATCCGATTATGTTTGCACTTCTGCTGCTGTCATATTTGCTTAATTTACTACATTGCACAGGTTTTTTTTGGCTGCTCTCTCCCCTGCAGGCCTAGTGTAAATCAGGCTGTCTTCTATCTGCCTGATACATTTTTAACATTAATCATTCTAGAGTAATACCTTGCTTTCTGTTAACTGGCTGAAGCTGGTGAGAAGTATACAATAGATATGGATAACCTGTACTCCAATTTATGAAAAGCTAACAGCTAATTATGTGTTTTGACTTAATTGAATAAATGTGAAATTAAGGAAAAAACAACAACAAGTAATGCTTTGTGCAGTTGATTTTTTTTTGGTCTGTCCATTGGTTGTAAATACCCTGTACAAAACTAAAAATTACACTTCCATCCCTTGCCAAACACAGACCAAACTAAAGTATCCATTACAGATCAAAATGAACTTTGTTTTATTTCTTTATTTGCATCACAATGCAGATCTGGGAATTAACTGCTGCTATGACGCCAGTAGGAACGTAAGATTTTTTGGTGTCGATGAAAAAATGTTTAAGTAAAAAGTGATCTGCAAACAACATTAATTTAATAATTTTCTGACTTTTCGTGCTTCGCTTTGCAACTGTAAGCATAGTTTTTAAAAAATGAGTCACGAGCCATTGTCTCATTTCAGATACACTCTTCCATATCATATCATATTAAAAAGAGCAGGATCTTTCTGCCTCCTTCCTTAAGCAGCTTCACAGATCATATTCCACAATCCCCTATGAAAACTAGAATTTCACTCAACTTTGTAATCCATGGATATACATATTTCTAATGGAATCCTACCATATCTATTCAATGGCAATTTCCCTTTGGTTTATATTTGCACCACGCACTCCGGCAGTGGAATGCACATAAGCACCTTACTTAATGTTCTGTTTTGGTTTTTCTGTTTATTTTCAAATCTGAAGGTGTTTGAATATCCAATTGATAACAGGAAGCTATCTTCACTCTTAACTGGTGCAGCAGCAGCTGAGATGTTGAGCAATATGTCAACTCCTACAAAATGCACTCTCACAAGAATTCTTTCCTCAATTTGGACTTTTATTTAAAACGACAAAAACTACGGTAAGTAGAAAAGAGCTGAACTAAGATGTGTTTCTCTTCAGCACTTTGTGCTCATGGCACAATGGCTAGAAATTAAGATTTAAAATAGTTTCCTTTCTCTTACATTATCCTAACATTCTCTGAACAATGACAATCTACAAGAGGTAAGTCAAGGGCTATATCACAGGTTTGTGCTGGGCACGGCTCAGCTATGCCTTTGCTGCCGCTATCCATGGTAGTGCAGCTACACTGCTGTTTATACCCGTGCTAGCAGGGGTATCTGTATGCAAGCAGGGGAATCACCTCCCTAGTTCAGAGAGTAGATTAGCCAAAGATGGCTAACCTGAGCATTTTTAGCCACAAGATCTCTTCCCAACAGTAGCCTAAGACACACATCCTTATTTGGCAACAGAGTGGCAGGAAAAGGTCCTCAAGCTCTTGGAAGAAGTCAATACTAAAAATCTCTGAACTTTGAATAAAACATGGATAAAGTGGAAGAAACAACAAGTGCGGATAATAAGCAGCGATACATGATAAGAAATCTAAATAGATAAGTGATGTAACATTACCTCAAGGCCAAAGCAAAACAACAAATGACAGAGATAAGACTGCAAAGAGCAAAAGGGAACACTGCACATATGCACTGGAGACATAATGAAGGATAAAGAAGCTCTTACAGTATAACAAGCTTGAAAATCAATACTGTGCTTTAGACTTTAAGAATACTTGGCTTGTCCAAAACTAAGCAGGCCCTGAGCTTAATGCTTTTCTCGACATATGATTCTCACTTAAGCACGGCCATATTGGGTCAGACCAAAGGTCCATATAGCTCAGTATCTTGTCTTCCAACAGTGGCCAATGCCAGATGCCCCAGAGGGAACTAACAGAACAGGTAATCATCAAGTGATCCATCCCTGTCGCCCATTCCCAGCTTCTGGCAAACAGAGGCTAGGGACACCATCCCTGCCCATCCTGGCTAATAGCCACTGATGGACCTATCCTCTATGAACTTATTTAGTTCTTTTTTGAACCCGGTTATAGCCTTAGCCTTCACAACATCCTCTGGCAAGGAGTTCCACAGGTTGACTGCATTGTGTGAAAGGAGTGCCATGGGTTGACTGTGCGTTGAAGATAACTATATCAGAGTGTTATAAAGTATATGGAGTGATAGACAATGGAAATTAAGATACAGAGTGCATACAAAGCAGAAGGGAATGATCTAACAAAATGTGTAGTGGTTTCTCATTTGAGCCCTGCGCGGATACACAATTATACCCGTGGATATAAAGCGGTGAAAGCAGCAGCATGTTGGAAGCCGCTCGCAGAAACCAGTGCCCAGCCCACTCCTTCCACGCAGTGGTGTGCGTCTCCTGTCCGGGAGCATGCGAGGTGCTTGCACACACTAGCATGACCAGGGACAGCTGCCGATGAGCCTGGTGCCCACCCCAGTGGGGAAGGCAGGGGGTGGCACAGCTGGTCTCGTTCACTAGTTGTCACTAGAGCCCTGCAGCTCCATAGATATCTGCTTTACATCCCAAATGTGTATCCACTTAGGGCTCTTTTTCTCAGTACCGTTTTCTAGTTGCACCATTTTTTGTGACCTTTATATTTGTAGTCTGAAACTTATAAACAGACTTGCAGTAAATATTACCCTCTCAATTGTGTGTAGGTTCATTTCAGAGGTTGGCTGAAGTTTCCTAGCATTTATAACTTTTAAGATGCATCTTTAAAAATTTTCTTTGTACTTAACATACTGTCCACACGCAAATGAACATGCACTCAGTGCACCTGCACAGTGACCCCCATCTCAGGGGGTCCCCAACCATCAGGGGGTTGGGAGAGCAACAAAGACACCTACACACACAAAAACCCAAGGACGGGAAGGAGGCAGGGCCAGAGAGGTGAGCCAGGCCAGCCCTGCAGGACAGAAGCTGCTCTGGGGTGAGTGTTGGGTGGGTCTGCCCTCCAACCACCCCACCCTCGGGCCTCCCATCCCCCGAGGGCAGGATCCAACCCCACTTGGGAGCCTCCCACTCTTGGGGGCTGGACCTTATTACCCCCCGCAACTTCAGGGCATCCCACACCCCAGGGAGCAGTCCCAATTGCCATTGTGTACCAGGACCCAAAACTCTTTAATCCAGCACCAACATTGCCATTAAACAGTTTAGGGAAATAAATTCTAGCCAGCGTTTTTCCACAAAACAATCTCAGTCAATGACATATAGTACGTATATTTCAACAATTCTTCCAACTCAGCACATTCGGAAACTATTATCCTAAGAACAGCTATAATGTAGCTTACCTTAAAGTTGTTTTCTTTTGGCTTTCTCCTCATGATTATATTGAATGTCTCATAGACATCTTCTGCTCCATTTTGGATTGTGTTTGTCATGTCCTGTTGATACTGGTTAGGATCCAGAAATACTCTAAAGGTTCTTGAGTCACCTTTAAGTCTTGGTTTGGGTTCTGGTCCTGTTCATATTTGAAACACAAATCAAAACTAGATTAAAGCAAGAAAAACAGTGTTGAAAGCAGATTAAGAACTACTTTTTAGGAGAAAACTAATCATTTGAAACAGAATTAAGATAAATTCACTTTAAAGCTCATATTTACAAGTATGATTTATTGGCATGCTTCCATACCATTTCTAATATTTTCAGAAATAGGCCTATTTTGTTCTAAAAAACCAGACCAAATGGAGCTATGCCAATTCATACCAGCTAATAGAATGGTTCATTATTTTTCCAAAGGATTATATAGGTGTATATATAGTTTAAAAAGCATCATCATACCTTCTTCAATGACACGTCCTTTATCATCCAACATGCCCTGGATTTCACAACCCCTGACGTACACCAGGCCAGTTTGCTCAACAAAAAGCCTCCTTCGATCAAACTTTGTGCCATAAGGTTGTGTTGGACGCACCGTAACTAAAAAACAAACATCGTGCTTGCGCAGACCTGATTGAACACAGGAAAAAGTTGAGTTATTTTGTTTATTCACCAACAACTGTCGTGTTTGTTCCTTAACAAGCAATTGAAAAGGTATACAACGGGCAAGCTTCTTTTTAACCTTTTGGCTAAGATGAAGTGTCATATCCTTTTGGTGGTCAATATAATTTGTACTGGGGGACTATGTCCTGCTTTTAGAGGATATAGAATCAACAGTCTTTTTTAATCTGTCTTTGATCCTACAATTAGGCTAGGATACTTCCAAATTTAGGGATAACTATGTAAGACACTTTAAATAAAATTCTATAGAAAGGTAAGGAAAATTTGGTGCTCTACAGAGGGGTTTCAGTAAGTTCCCTAGCTAAATCTCTTCCAACTGTACATTTCTATAATTTTCCGCCTTCAAAACTCTCCTTTGTCATGATGCCTATAAAAAAAACTCTTGTCAACTGCTGATATGCAAAGGCCACTGCCTATAATGCTGACTAGTATTGTCTCATTGTTTCCTTGTACTCCCCCACCTCTCTATAGCCATTTGGCATCTCGTCTTATACTTCTATCGTAAGCTGTTTGGGGCAGACAGTCTTTATTCTGTGTTTGTTCAGTGCCTGGCATAGTGGGGTCTTGGTCCATGACTAAGGTTCCTCTGTGCTACAGTAATGCAAATAATTAATACTCTAAAACCAATCCAGACTGGACCAAACGGTCAGGTAATCAGAGAACAATTTTTTTTAAAAAATCTAATTAAAAAAATACAAGTAATGACTTCTGGAAAGATTCTGCTCAACAAACAAGATGGAAGTGGAAAAAAACAAGGAGCAAAGACAGGACAGGGGAACTTTAGACAATACAGTTAGAATGAATTATTTTGCAAAGAAAGTGTAAAAAAAAAGACCGATCTATGGAGACATCAGGGAAGAGAGAGACCGGGACTGCAGAATGTTTTTTAAATAAATAGTGTGGATTCAGGGTACTTGTCTGAGTTACTACCACAAACCTCTCAGACATCCAGCATACATCAGACATCCTGCTTTTCAGACAATACTCTAGTCCATCTTCTGCCTTGCTGCCATTGATAGTCAATAACAGGTCATTGATCAGAAATATCTGAAACTGTATAACCATTGTAGTTGGCTTACTGTACTGTACATAAGGTACCTATCCTTTCCACGTGACAACAATAAACTGAACATGGAAATATCTATTAATACTACTGAGAAGCTACTATGTTACAAAGCCGTATCTGAGCTGGGACTTAAACTCATATCACAATCCAAAAGTTGTATCTATTGCCATAAACTCAATCCATTTTACTGCATGTTCTGCATTTAACATTTGTGCTATGTGACAGCCTACATAGCCAACACACTATCCAACTCTAGCATATTTAACAGATCTCGCTCTAACTGAATTTAAGGACTATCAGTCAATGTCACTGCAGAATATGAATAATCGCTTCTATGCAGCTTGCCAACAAGGTCAACTCAAGTGTAATTCCCTAAGCACAAAGTGTTGCCTACTGATACTACACTAGGAAACATAGGCTACACAGTGCCAGCTGGCAATTCCTGACAGCATTCAAAAGCACAACCGGAAAAACACTGGCTTTAATCAAGTCAAAGCCCATCACCATTCCCTTGCAATATAAAAGGGATCAGATTTTCTCCACAGCTTTAACAAAGAAGACTACCAGCATGCAGGCCACACCATCTCTCCACACTACTTGTCTGTTCCGTTCTTGTTAGCAAGCAGGGTATTACTTTTACAAGAGGAATGGAGTCAAGGTGTAACAGAAGGTATACAACTGAAATATTCAGCATGTTGGGCTTGCTATCAGCATGCTTATCCAGTTGAGTAGTTTTCACTCAAATAATCCCACAATTTTAATTTTGGAGGGCTCTCGGATAGGTCTACAGTACCCGCCGGATAGGCAGGTAGCAATCGATATATCGGAAGTCGATTTATCTCGTCTAGTCTAGACTCGATAAATTTACCCCGAGTGCTCTCACGTCGACTCCGGAATTCCAGCGCCGCGAGAGGTACAAGCAAAGTCGACGGCAGAGTGGTGGCAGTCGACTCACCAGCGTGAAGACGCTGCGGTAAGTCTATCTAGGTACGTCAACTTCAGCTATGCTATTCTCGTAGCTGAAGTTGCGTACCTTACATCGACTCCCCCCGCTAGTGTAGACTAGACCTTTATTTCTCAAAGTTTTAGAGGATTTTAAAGTGACCTATGGAGTTTTCCATCTTGATATCCCATTAAAGTAAATCATACAATATAAAAATATTATGGCAAGCTTTTTTAAAAAATAAATACTGAAGGCAGATCTTATGTAAAATCATTACCCCACACATTGCAGACACTTTCACTTTTCATGTTAATTATTCCAACAACAGTATAGACAGAGACCATTTTTATTTTGGAGACATATTTCCTTTTCAGAGTCAATGCCAATAAACGTCTCTAAATCAGTACATACAGAGATGTAAACAAAATTAAGATTTTCAACTACTACTTCTGCAAAAGTGACACCCAAGCCTTGTCTAGATATAGCATATGTCTTGAGGAGGAGTGCTTCTGCCAGCATAATAACTCCACCACCCCAAACGACATTAGCTAAATGACAGAAGCATTTGTCTATCAAGCTTCTACAGTGTCTACGGAGGGTTTTTTTCCAGCATAGCTACGTTGGCTAGATGGTGTAGCTTTTTCACATCCCTGACCAACATAGCCTATGCCAACAAAACTTAGAAGTATAGGCCTGCGCCAAGTTTCCTTGGTTTGTGTAGTTCTCAGCTGTCTAACGAACAGACGACAGAACAGGGCACTGCTGCCATCACAACAAACTTGATTTTCAGAGTTTTATGCAACTACCACTCAGCTAAAAAAAGGTGGAAAGTATGTTCTGACAATGGCTTAAATTGTGGTTGTTACTTTGGCGAGCACCACATGTACACATCAGAAAGGGGACAGCTTTTGAACAGGATGAAAAACACTATGTAGGTTCTTTAAAAAAGAACCGTTTCACCGTTCAGGTGAAAGATTACTGTAGAATCCTGTAGTGATAGGTGAAAAGCTGAAAATGTAGTGGGGCTTTATCTTGCAGAGCTGAGGGAGAGAACTGATTATTTAAAGCGAAGTACATGAGCCAGAATAAAGAGAATGGAAGACTGTTAGAAACAGCTCCTTTCTGCCTTGCCTAGATGGAGAATGGCTGTCGTTTCACAGAAGACAGTTTGAGTCTGCTACTGATGGAACTAACAGAGCTAGTTCTTTTAGCTCAGGCAGTAGAAGATCAGGTTTTTAGGTCCAGAAGTCCCACGTTCAATTAAAACTGCTGACAACCCATCCTAGGGTTTCATTTTACAGAAGTTTTCCTGCTTTATTTTATGGACTGCTATGGAACAATCACAATGCCAACTGCCAAATACCAGGTAAAAACCTCTTAGGGCTGTGGAAAGTTCAAACAACAGAATGCAATGCTGATGTTAGTATTCTACAAAGAATGTGCTATTTCCATTAATGGTGTGAATCACAATATAGAGGAATGGGTTCTGAGAGGGGATTATAGAAAATCATATTTGCTTAGAGATTTATTTAAACACCCATTATGTGATTAGCCTCCAACCACCCCTTTCGTTGTATGTATTAAGAGTAAAGCATTCAGTGGCTATTCCCTAACTATCTTCTAGGTTGGAGTTGATGGCTTTAGAGAACTGTATGAGAATTTTAACAGCAGTTAAGCGGTAAGATTTGAATTCTTGGCATATTCTTTTCCAGTTCAGGGAATGTTCTCCTAGGCTATAGGGGCTATAAAGTCTCAGTCTCTCTCTCCTTTATTTGCACCCAAAAGTAAGTTACAGCATTTGAGATACAGCAGATTTATAGTCAATTAAAATGTGGCATATTCAGTTTCGTGTACATAAATTTCCACTGTAGATAAAAGGTTATAAAGCACTCTACAGACAAACACAACCTATCTATAACTAATATTCTAGAAATCAGCAGAAGTAGTATTTTAGATTTCTTTCAAAAAAGTACAAAGAAAAGTGAGGTGATCGGGAGGAGGAGGGTGAAGGAGATCATCCACCAGGGTGATTTTTGAACTCTTATTTTTTTCCTATATCAATTTATTTTTCAAAGCACCACAAAAATATTCAAAGTTTATATTTGGGTTTTTTTATATTTTAATTAGATTTTTACAAAATAAAGGTTTAAATCTGTTAAAACTGAACTCCGTATACCAACCTTAATAGTGTAGCTACTTTTGTGCCATAATATTGAGTAGGATCAGGGTTCTTTAACACTACAATATTATGAGAGCTCTACACTTATCCCAAATTCTGATAGTACTGTATCTACAATAGGCATGGAATGTTCATTACTGAAATAAAAATGAGCACCTTGCCATTCATTTTTGATGTGATCTCTGACATTCAAATGAATTGTAACATCTGCTCGTACTCGCATTGGCCAGTTTTCACCAATGTTGGGCTTTGCCACCTCTACCACAGTGAAAGACACAATGGGTTGTGCCATTCGAGCCCATCCACCAAACACAATGCCTCCATATTCGGATTTCCTAAAAAAAAATAAAAAATAAAAAAAAATCAATAGTGTGTTAGAACCATCAACCATTGCTGCATTCAGATTTTCTTTAAACTGCTGAATAATTTAAAAACCACATCATCAGCTCAATATTTAAGGGACACGAGGAAGAATTTAAAAGGCACGAAATTTCAGCATATCTTGTATCAAAGAATCAACATATAATGTAAACTAACATTTTTATTTCATATTCTCATCTCCTGTATGAAGGTAAAATTTGTGATGACATTTCAAAAACAGTCATTCAAAGAAAGAGAGAGAAGATGAGACCACCACAGAAAGATTTAATGGGTATGAAAGGGAGAGTACACCCTATGCACTACAGAAAATGGTGACATATAGGTGGGATTTTCAAAAGCACCCAGCACCAGTGTAACTCTGCTCCTAGTGAAGTGAGTGATAACATCTTGATTTCACTGGGAGCACAGTTAGGCCAATACGGAATACTTGTGAAAATCCCACCAGTATTCCACATCCATAACACTGATACAAATGATCAACAATTAAGAACAATTGTTAATACAGTGAAGTTTGTGGTTAACACTTAACACAAATAAGGTCTCAATGTTACTAAAAAAATACTAGTCAGCACATAGTGGTCACAAGCATTCTTCGTGGGCAACAATACCCAGAATATATTTTAATAATATTATTAGAAGATTAATCTTGCATGAAGCAGTATTTTAGAAGAGATTATGGAACACCACATTTATACCTTTATAACAACTGGAAACAGTTGGTTACTACTTACATGACTATATCCACTTTATATTATAGACATCACTAATTATTTATTCCCCAAAAAGCTTTAGTTACTTCCTACATTGTGGTGTTTGGTTTGTTTTAGTTAACGCAGAAATATTACCAAGGTTTCATCCTACTGACACTATCCTCAATGTCCTGTCTGATCTCATATGTAGACTCTAAGCGGAAGAGATTAAAGTTCCGTAGAAGGTAGTCATGAAGAGTCAGAAACTGTAAATTCAGTTTAGGAAGAGCGAGGCAGCCTAAGGGAAAAAAAGAAAAAACATTAAATCCATCTTCTGTCTATTAATGTAACAAATTCATTGGTTTTACGTATTCATAAACACTATATACAATTCCATCATCATGCTTTAGTCATGATATGAGAAGATTTAAATACTTTCTTCTAAAGCCACATACTACACCAAAAAAAGGGGGGGGAAGGAGGGGGTGGCACAAAGGCCCTCCCCTTTGTAAATCACCTTCAAGCGATCTAACTGTACTATTTTATTCTTGTTGACCATTTCTCTGTATGCAACTGTCGTACTTAAAAGACACGTGTCTTTGCATTACCATAGCAAATTATTTGCAGTCATTGGTTAAAAAAAAAAAAAATCTGACTTCACCAGAAGTGACCACAGTTAGGACAACCATACTGGACAATTCCCACAAAAGGTTTCTGATGTAGAAGAATTGGTCCAGTGACACATGCTGTGGACAAGTCAGATGGTTTCTTCACCAGAAACCAAAAAAAAAAAAGAAATGAGGCGGGTGGATTCTGTTTATTTTTACATTAGAACTTCAGCCTTTCTAGGCTGGAAGACTGATGACTAGAGAACTAGAGCCAAGAGAGTGAAGGCTGAGCAACTGAAAAAGGGAGGAAGTTTTTTTATTACTATTATTAAGTTGATCTCTTTATTTTCAGTGAAGAAATAACATTTAACAAAGAGCTGCTTTGTCCAAAGATTCTTCACCATGATTCCTTCACTTTATTAGGGCTCACAATAACCATTACCAACACCTACCAGAAACCCTCTCATAAAACAAGACAAAGCCAAACTTGACATTAACAATACACTTGAAGGAAAAAAAGGAAAAAATCCCCCTGCTTTCTGTGCTTCTATAGACATTATGAAGCAGCAGAAAAAAAATTATCTGAAGGTCACCTTTAATTTTCCTATCAGTAATATAGTAAAAACATTTGAGGATAGGGTTCTCTCTATTTTGGATATATCATGGCAATAGTGATATGGGGCAGAGTAAAGGCGCTTTGGCGACTAAGATTTGTGCTAGTGTTCAATGTTTTCCCCCTCCTGAAGTAACTGATACATTTTTGTTGATAGAGCTATGCAGAGGGAATAGAAGGGGCAGGAGGAGAGAATTTATCTATGAGAGAAGTACCTATTCTACTTAATGGGCCCCCTTCATTGTCCATACTGTACTCACCCATTAAGTACTATCCCTCTCACTTGTCAACTAAAAACCACACACCTCCCACCCAGCACACAATTCCCTACCATATCTTCCCAGCATTGTAACCACCCATACTTAGCTCCGTCTGGCTCCAGAGATTATATTTTATGCAGAAAATGCTTTTCAACAGCTAAATAATGACAGCAACAACCTCCCCAAATATCATTGGCACCAGGTTTGGAGATTGAATAAATTTTGGAGTTTCTATCTGAGCCAAGCTCATGGAGTTACCATGGGACCAAAAAACCAACAACAAACCACAATACGAAAATGTTCTAGAAATGAGTTCACTGCATACTTCAAGCCATCTTCTCCCTCAAATACCCTGCCCAATTAGCCCCAAATCATTTCCACGTTGGCATAAAATCATTCCTATGAAATTTCAAGTGGATGGATTAGTTTTAATTAAGTCAAGCTAATGGAGGGAGACCTAAGTGTGTTAAAAATTGGGCACAGAAAGCCCAAAATAAATAGCAATGTTGTTGTAGCCATGTCAGTCCCAGGATAATAGGCTACTTAACCTTAAATGGTCCTTCAGAATATGTGCTTACTACTTATGCTATTCTATCTGTTTGACCTTGTATTTAGCTGTGACACTCCGAGTACTTTTCTCAGAACTCAAGAAGAGTTCTGTGTAGTTTGAAAGCTTGTCTCTCTCACCAACAAAAAAGTTTGGGCCAATAAAAGTTACTACCTTACTCACCTTGTCTCTCCAAAATAAATAGCTGCATTTTTAGCCTACACTATGGAAATACTAGTGTTGCTCCGCAACTCAAGTTCTTACACATTGCTCATTTAGAAGGCCTTCTGTTTTTGGTTTTTAATTTTAGCTTCCCAGGAATTTAAAAGGTTTTATTTAAAAATGGGAGAAAATTGGTAAACAAAACAAACCGCTGGGGGGGGGGGGGGGGAAAGAGGTACAGGGGAGGAGAGGAGGTATGCACCAAAGGGCAGGTGAGGAAGCCTTCCTCTCCATATAATGGCCAGGTGGTCTCAACTGCCAGGACCCAGTTCCCTGCTCTTCTAACTCCCCTCCTGCGCACAGGAAGCAAACAGAATCATACCGAAGGGCCAGGATGAGGAGAGGAGTGGAAGGCTGCAGCCCACGAGTACCACCACCTCCACCTGAAAGAGCCCCATCTGCTTCCCCCACAAAAAATTCCCAGGTCCCAAAAAAGCCAAACTTCCCGGGGGAGGGAGGGGGGGGGGGGATTTAACTGGTAAAACCCTCTGTCTTTTTTAAAACCCAGACATTTTCCGGGGGGGGGAAAGAGGATAAAAAAAATATTGGTAAATATTCATAACAAAGGGCTTTATACATTTAATACTTTCACTTGACTACTGTCCCAGTTTTACACCTTTGTTTATGAACTGTGAAAGCGTGAAAACTCTTGTAACATGCAATATTATCCTTGAAATCTTTCTGGCACACAGTACATGTTGGCTTCCACAAGCACAGAGACACACTGCCAATAAAGAAAGGTGATAGAACACAATTATTTCTATTCCGTGAAGCTATATGAAGATAAAATGTCTGGAGGAATGGGCCAAAGAGTCTGTGCCCAGTACAGCATACCTCTCTCCAGAGCCTGGAGTGAAATCCAAGACTTCTGAGTCTCACCAGTCCTCTGCTGTTTGCAAACATCTGTGAAACCCACTGATAAAAGTATCCAAACACCCTCTAGTGTCAGTCCACATAGCAAATGACAATCTTCTACTGAGAACAGTTACTCCCTTAATTCAAGTGGCAGAGGTCTGTGCAGTGGATCTGGAAGTTCCAGCCCTGCTGATGGCCTATGTGGGTGTCAATACGGCAGCACACAATGGGGTTACTGACAGACAGTATCCTATAATACCCTGAAACACCCTATGGAATTAAGATTAGCTTCATTTAATTAAGTTTAACCCTAATTCAGTAAGGTTTATACCTATCGTGGCATTGCATGTACCTTCTCTAATAGAAAGTGGGGGGAATGCTAATATACTTCCTCTGTTATCAACCCTTTGGAGCACCCCCAGAGAGATATTCATATACTAGTTCAAATTGGATTCTCCAGGGACCAACCAAGAAAAAGGGTTTTTGGATAAACATGCTGGCATAAAACTGGCCCATGGCCTTCTTCCTGATCCACCAAATAGGCAGGAACCCTGGTCCACGGACCCTCTCAAGCACTCAGAAGTTAAGAAATGCCAGAATTAAGAGTGAACAGGCAACCCTAGTTCTGGCATTTCCTACTTTTCAGAGCTCGCCTTTGCAACCTTAATAATGTTCTTTTAACGAAGTTTTGTGTGCGCAATTAGAGACAAATTGTATAAAGGGCTGACAGCAATTCAGCATAGCATCTTTATAACACAGTATACAATATTCATATTTTGCAAAGTGAAAGCATAAAACAAGCAACACAGAAATGAGTAATTACACAGGACTACAGAAAGTTTTTCCAGCCATCGGTTAAAATTAGTGTTTCAGTTTACCAGTGTGAAAATAAGTCTGTCCATTTTTGTTGCATATATCGTTAAGAATCCCATATACCAAAAGGTATAAGAGCATCTGAAATGGAAGTTTCACTAAAAAGGGCATCATTGAAATAAGGATTTCTACAGACTCTCCACTATGAGAAGCAGCACTGATGGACTTAACTAATCTACATTCTGCTGGCAATGAAAACTGTTACTGTATCTATTCTATTCCATGTCACCCCTTGGCTTCAAGAATACAGATAATTTTTCAGGCTTAATTTTCACAAGGCGTTCTCCATTTCTGTGTGCAACAACTCATGTACACACTGCTCCTCTGCCCATAGTAACAGGTTTTGCACATGACAATTCTATCTGTTGTGATGGAATCTACCACAGCTAACAGTGCACAAAAATGCATATGCAGGTGTGTACAAACACAAATATGTATTAAATAACTGAAGTGATTCTCTGAAACATGTCAGACTGTTTCAAAGAATGGCCTTCCACTGGAGTCTGTATAAGACTGTGTTGTTGGAGAAAGCTGTACAACTGCATGGCCTTGTACCCAGTTAAGAATGTCGTCTGTTCTGGAATGTAGCCAGCTTGTTTGCCTGATTAAGAAGAAAACTTGATTTTCAAGCAGTTTAAATATTACCTTCCTGGAGAGAATAGAGTGTTCAAGTTAACACGGCAGTTTCCAGATATCACTGCTATAAGGAAAAGGGAATCTCTTACTCTGCAGAATCTCAATCATGTTACAAGACAAAATACTGCCATAATACTAGTGCTGTTATCAGTGTAAGTTGTTATTATTCTGCTCTGCGTGCGCTGATCTTCAAAGAATATCCATGTGGCTATTCAAAGTGGAATTTTTTGATTGCTTTTTAAAAAAGAATTCAGATGTAAAAAACCAATTTCAGTTCAGAGAATGATCATGTCCCTAATTTAAACATCTTCCCTAGACTGTTGTGTTCTCCACCTCAACCAAGGAAGAGATATAGCTCTACATTTCCTAGCAGTGGCAGAGCTCTAGGCTTTATGGCATTACTTAGCTGACAACAGGAACACGTCTGTGCCAATGAGGGAAGAGGTTAAACCGACATTAGAAATTCCACGTATTCCCTAAACATTCTTAGGGCACCTGACTGCCACACAGACTATGGATTCCATTCTGAAGTGCCCATTGGTACAATTCTGCGACAAATGTAGACTGGTGCTTTTATCCTTAAAACTATATAAATTGGTTCACTGACAAGCCATTACTGGCAAACATAAATATTTAAAATATTTTAAAAACTAATCCCCAATATTGAACATAAGCAGTTCTATAGTGCAGATGTTAGTTTTCAGGATATGTATTAAGAGTTTGGGATTTCAATTTAAACTGAAAGTGACAAAACCTCACCACATGAAACTGACTTTTCAAGAATCAATTTGGAAAAAGAGCAAATTCTTTTAAAAGAACTCAACAGAATTCACTTGCTGCTCACTGTCAAACTATGGCATGACTCACTTCTCTCTCAAGCTCTCTACAGTTCACTTCTTGGGAGCAGGTAGTAGCAAGGTAGAAAGCAGCTTTCTTCTGTGCTTATATACAGATAGAGCAAATGAGATTGTTTTATGATTTACTCCAAGCTTTTATTCTTCTTTTTTAATCTATGTTTATCTAATTGGTAACAAAGACATTCATTTCAGATCAAATTTATGCAGTCCAATTCAAATAAGCCTATAAACACAGATTTTTTTTTTTCTTGGAAGTTAAAAGGCACTAAAGTAGCCAAAAGTAAATATTGTCCAGATTTAGAAGCTGTGGAATAGTTCTTAATGAACCAGAATTAACGACAAGTCCTTTGAACTATGAAGTTTTAAGAGCAATCCAAATATATCTCAACAAATATACCTTCTCCAGAATAGTACTCAGTTGGGACAATATTTTCATCCCAAATAATCTTCTCAGTGGGATACAGAGGCATCTGGTTAAGCTGCTGAATTTGAGATATTCGACGTGCATGACGAGACACCTAGGAAAGCGAAAGTGAACATTTATACCAAAGCCTAACCAAGTCAACATTTTTCTATGCAAGTGACAAATAACATATAAGATGGTCATCCAGGAAGTGAACATTAAAAAGATCACGTCTTCAGCTAACACAACAAGCTGAAGTGATAAAAGTACCTTAAGACTTCAGAAATTAAAAAGTTACCTCCAAACTGTCTATGTTTTATTTTTCTTCAATTAATCAATCAATCTTGTTTGTACATTGAAGGAAATCATAAGATGTATTGCTAACAACGTTGGGCTATTTCTTCAAAAAACAATGAAAGAGGTCCCACTTTACTAAGATGACAAACAAGCTCAGGTGTAATTTTAAGAGGCCAGGTTTATGCCTCTTTGAAAACTAGGCCTGTTTAATAATTCATTAATTAATGGTCTCATCCAAAGTCACCTGTAATAAAAACTCCCATTAACTTCAAAGGGTTTTTGGATCAGGCTCTTGGAGAGTACAGGTGGTATCCAACGATGCATTATCAAACGCAAATGAAGTTATACGACTATCACAGAAGAGTTAGCATGTAGCTCAATGGAATCGGATCATCAATAGTTCAAGCGTGGATCTTAATACTGCACATCCCACTATAATCTGGATGTCCTACTTTTAACATTACTCTTTGAAAACACAGGAGAAGAAAGGTTCTCTTTCCCTATTAAAAATGGCATAATTTGTTTTCAGTAGTTTTAAACAGCACCAAAAAGGTATGAAATGGCTGAAAATATGTAGTCAAATTTCCCTCACAAGGTTAAAATCTAAACTGAAGATGAAACAAATTTTCGACTATATTTTTTCTGAACACCAATGTTTACCTATAGTAGTTAAGTCTGATACTTTACACCCAGCAATAAATATTTATATCCAGTGCCTAAACAGAAAAATGTATCTGATACTACTGCAGCCTGTTTGAATAGGCTTTGTATTAGGGGGATCATTTCACAATCTGACTTAAAACTGCTCATACAATAACATCAAGAAAATATTCCAAATAATTTTAAAATATGATCAGCTACAGAAAAGTCAGCCTTCAAAGAGGAAATGGAACAATGGATATGTTGAGAAGCGTCCCATCATTACAACACAGGTTAGAGTTCCTTGCTCAGATCAATATCTACTCAAGTGAATTTCCCCCCCCCATTTCTATACTCCTGTGGAGATTTTCAAACCTGCCTATGGGATCTGAATGCTCAATTCTCACTTTAATTTATGGGAACGGAATGTCTACATCCCTCTAGACAGCACTGGAAAACAAAATCACAGCCTAATTATATTTTAAACAGGTCTAAATAACTAAGGACGCAGGTATAATGCAAGCATCTACACATGCTGTAACAACTTTCATGATACGTGGACCTTAAGCAACTGCTGAAGAAACACTGGTAACAGTCCTCTAAAGTTGCCACTGTTCAGACACACCACCACTTTCCCAGAGGAGTCATCTTTTTCCCTGTTTGAAGATTAGTCATTAATTACTAGATTTAATTCACATCTGTTTCCAACTCACTCAGTCATCATACTGCTGTAGTTCATAAGGCACTCCTAACTGTGAAAGCCATCATGTGGTTGGCAGCATTAGAGCTGCAATTGCTGTGATTTTATTCAATTTTAGGAAGTGAATGCAAGCTTTCTTGCGAGAAAAAACATAGGTGATAAATGTAATTAGCATGTGTGTGCTTTACCAGTAATTCTAGCAGAAATTCTTTGTCATAGCCTGTATCTTCCCCTTCAGGTAGAGCCGGTAACAAGCAGAGGTATGATGCCACCTGGTGGAGTGTGTTTGGGCTGCATAATATGGGGGGAGGGAGGAAATACAAAAGCCACTGAGTGATTTTTTACATTTTATAAAAACTGCTGTTAAATCTTCAATTTTTTTTTTTTGACAGTTTCACAGTTCAGGTAACACAATCAAGAAAAAACCTTAGAGAGTCTTAAAAGTTACGTAAAGTTTTTATTTAGTTGCTTTACCTGGTAATTGCCTAGAGGAAATCAGCACAACATTTACACCACAGAAAGTGACTAAGAAATAAAACAGATACAGCACACCACTCATAAAGAATTCAGATACAAAAATAGGGAACATAATCAGAACTTCCAGCTAAGATTTTCATTTCCATATATATTCACATATATTTGAACAGACAAGACACGCTGCCTTTAATATTTGCTAAAGTGGTCAAGCTAAAGCCCAGGGTAGAGTCTGTGTGTTAAAGGCAGAGTACCTGTCCACATTAGACTTTTAAAATGTGTTTGCATGTTAGCCAATACGTACTAATATCATACTTTTAAACGTTAGTCTAGAAAAGTCTCCATTTTTCAGGATGAAGCTATTATGTTTGAACAGGAGAAAGCCAATTCTAACAAGTAGTTCAAGAGAAGATGGTTTTTTGTTCACTGCTACTGCTATTGTTTTTGTTAGTTTTACTAAGACTAAATAGTGGGAAAATTTACAGAATGACAAGACAGGCAGAAAGAAAGCAGTTTAACCTATCCTATAGTATCAGAGATCCCAGAATTGCATTAAGAATTGTTATAATAGCAGGCATAAAGGCACTCCCAGTCAACTTACAATACTTATTCTGTAACTACAGCAAATATACACAATGTTACTTGTATGAAAATGTTTGAACTGTAACTAAGATTAGTGAAAAGCATTTATATTTTTTCCTGTTTCTTTATTTTATGCACTTGGCAGAACTTTGGGAGAAGGAGTAGCTCCAACTCAAATTCCCCCAGTGATTTCTGTGGGTCTTTGATGCAGCAATAAGTAAAGAAAAACATTTTGAAAATATCATCAGGAAAACCTGAATTATTGTAAAGCCATAAAAAATGGCAGGACGACTCACTGGCATGTATAGTTCCAAAAACTATTAACTCTTCTACTTTTAAAATGACTAGATTTCAAATCGATGGTGTTTCTTTCACTCTACCCAGAGATCAGAATTAAGGGAAAGATGCATTTTACAAGCAGAAAGTAGCAACCCAGCAATAATAAATTAAACTTCACCACACCCAGAAGTGGCAAGTAGTCTATGTACTAAGTTCCACAAATGAATAAACTGAAGCACAAATGATTTGCCCAAAGTTACCCAGCAAGTCAGAAGCAGAACCCAAGAGTCCCAACCCCAAATGTCTTCTTCAAACCAGGAGTCATAATTTGCAATGTCACATTTAATTACAGCATTACACATGTATTACTATAATATACATAAAAAGGCTAGAAGACTAGTAACAAACAATGGAGAGAAATAAACTTGAAACAGAAGAACTGAATTTCCATCTTTATGGCTTACCTCAGGGGTCCACACAGCTTTTCCAATGAACCACGAGTGTCCACTGCTGCCACATTTGAAAGTGCAAAATCGTATAGTTCCGGGAAATGTGCAAAAGCTGCTCTCTAGAAAAGCCCCCCAAAATTTAATGAGAGGTTAAATTGACGTTTTCGGGGGGGGGGGGAGGATTGCTCTGACAAGAGTTTATTAATAAGAGACCATGAACATGTAAGAACTCCACCTTCCTCTGTGCAGCACCTAGCACAGAGTGGGCACTACTGGAGTAAAAATAATGAAAAAGCAACTATTTTTCTGCTTAGTAAATGTGACATACAATTCTTGTTCTTCTGAGATGTATTTATTTTTCTAACGTGTCTGATAAACACTAGATGTTTTGGCATTATAATAGCCTCCTAATTGGCAGTAATGAAACTTTGGTAGAGACTGACAAGGTTGTGAAACTCCGGGATTTCACTCACCAAAGTTCATCTAGTTCTGAACTTTAAAAGACATGAAAATTTCAGTGAACCTCCGGAGGTGCAATTCAAAACTGCTGTGAAAACCCAAAAAGAAATCTCTTCACAGTCCTAATTAGCACCATGTGAAACATGCATAACGCTCTTGTGAAAAGTCCCATAATAACCACAGGTAGTGAGGATGTGGTTTATATCTCACCTGAAAGACAGCACTATTAGCAGTAGTATGCTGAGTACTTATTCTGAGGAAAAGTGACATCTGTTGCATAACCAATACCACTTCCTCCTGTACCTAGGTTTCCCACACAAATAAGTCTTGTGGAGACTGACCCTTTTTAGTTAATGAGTTGACAAGATCAAAACTGGAGGTGGTATTGTTTTGCTGAAACAGATAATAAACTTACTAATATTGACTGTCACTTTAGTTAGGTTCTCTGCACATACACACAGGCTAATTGCTCTTTTATCTGCTCATGCAATTCGAAGTGTGTGTTATATGAAGTTCTTCAGAATATTTTTGAACGAAGCTATGCAAAGTTAGGAACTGAAAGACTAGCACCATTCCTTTAATACAGCAGAAAAAAGCAAGATGTTTCCTTTTGGAAAGACCAGAATCACCATCTTATTTGCAAATTATATTTAAAAAAATATATTAAAAATGAAACTCAGTGTTTGCCTACCTGTAAGGAAGTAATTCTATCATAGTGAATTGTAGTCATCTCATTTTCTGTCAAAGCATTCCCAGTCTGGTCATTAATTTCAAAGCCGGTGTAGAATTTAAGCATGTCTAAAAGCTGAAACATGATACATGTAAATTAGTGACGTATGAGAATGGGATCAGCAACTACCATATAAAACCTTGAACAAAAAGAGATGGAACCTAACATCTGAACTTCAGGCACCCCTGTATAATATATAATCTTACCAAGATACCAATAATCTAGACAGAGAAATATGCATGGACTGATCATTTATATGTTTTGTGCATTAGCCAAAAATAACTTGGCTAATTTTAAATGAGATTCTATCATTTAAACAAACAAATTTAAAATGAGATTCTAGCTACAGTTTAAGAAAGTCCTAGCAATGTCCATAATACCTATCTCTGTATGCAGAGAGTTGTAAAATATTTCATATGGACACCCCTATATTGAATTTACATCCACATGGCCACCGACACATTACACTGAATGCCATTCATACGAATTCTTGTAAAAGGCTATACATGCAAATAAAAATGAACTATTCAAATATCACTCGATACATGTACAATGCAATGTTCCACATGTATGCACAATTAACGTCAAAAGTGACAATATATCTCATAGCAATGCAAAGGCTACAGTTCCAACCACAAAATAAAGGTACACTATGGAAGTGATCTCTTAAGAGACTAAAATAATTACTGATTAGCTTTTTTATCAAGGAAATTCTCGTAGGAGCTGCCAAGAGTTGAAGCTGAGACTCGTTACATAGGGAATTTAGCTGAACTGCCATGAGATAAAGCTGCCGAGAACATCTTGACAACAAATAACTTCAAGCACATAAAGTGAAGTTCTAGTGCCTCCGATACACGCAGAACAAGTGAAAAAGAAAAGAACGTAACCATCTGCCATGAAGTGATGAGGTATAATCTGGTAGGGTTTGCTTCGATAGTATCATAATGAAAAAGTAGAATTAATTTTTGAATGCTGCACTGGGATCATAACCACCCCTACAGTAAAGAAAATTAAATGAGATTAAAATAAGCAAGAACTTCTTGAAACTGCTGGCACACTGTTTGCATAGATACAGAGGCCTGGCACACTGACTGTACTGCTATATACTAAGGGGTTACCGGCCAGCCTGTTTTGGCCACAGAAGGCACCTTTCTTTAAAAAGAATGTAAACCCCATACAGCACCTCTGGAGGGCAAAGCTCCTCCTATCAGCAGAAAGGCTATATCTGGATACATCCAGGTAACAAATGAAATTTGCTATGAAGGCAAGGCAATCCAGCTGAAAATGAGAGGATCAAAGTTCACTCTCCTATGAGTGGTCCAGGACAATTGCTACAGATACTGGTCCTGAAAATAGAATATCATAGAATATCAGGGTTGGAAGGGACTTCAGGAGGTCTAGTCCAACCCCCTGCTCAAAGCAGGACCAATCCCCAACTAAATCATCCCAGCCAGGGCTTTGTCAAGCCTGACCTTAAAAAGCTCTAAGGAAGGAGATTCCACCACCTACCTAGGTAACACATTCCAGTGCTTCACCATCCCCATAGCGAAAAACTTTTTCCTAATATCCAATCTAAACCTCTCCCACTGCAAATTGAGACCATTACTCCTTGTTTTGTCATCTGCTACCACTGAGAACAGTTTAGATCCATCCATTTTGGAACCCCCTTTCAGGCAGTTGAAAGCAGCTATCAAATCCCCCCTCATTCTTCTCTTCCGCAGACTAAACAATCCCAGTTCCCTCAGCCTCTCCTCATAACTCATGTGTTCCAGACCCCTAATCATTTTTGTTGCCCTTCGCTGGACTCTTTCCAATTTATCCACATCCTTCTTGAAGTGTGGGGCCCAAAACTGGACACAGTACTCCAAATGAGGCCTCACCAATGTCGAATAGAGGGGAACGATCACATCCCGCAAACTGCTGGCAGTGCCCCTACCTATACAACCCAAAATGCTGTTAGCCTTCTTGGCAAGAAGGGCACATTGTTGACTTATATCCAGCTTCTCGTCCACTATAACCCCTAGGTCCTTTTCTGCGGAACTACTGCCTAGCCATTTGGTCCCTAGTCTGTAGCGGTGCATGGGATTCTTCCCTCCTAAGTGCAGGACTCTGCACTTGTCCTTGTTGAACCTCATGAGATTTCTCTTGGCTCAATCCTCTAATTTGTCTAGGGCCCTCTGTATCCTGTCCCTACCTTCCAGCGTACATACCACTCCTCCCAGTTTAGTGTCATCTGCAAACTTGTTGAGGGTGCAGTCCATGCCAACCTCCAGATCATTAATGAAGATATTGAACAAAACGGACCCAGGACTGACCCTTGGGGCACTCCGCTTGATACTGGCTGCCAACTAGACATGGAGCCATTGATCACTATCCGTTGGGCCCGACAATCTAACCAGCTTTCTATCCACCTTATAGTCCATTCATCCAGCCCATACTTCTTAAACTTGCTGGCAAGAATACTGTGGGAGACCGTATCAAAATATATCAAGAGGACTCAAGCCTTTCTAGCTTTGACAGACTTCAAGATAAAGGACCTGAGCAGAAAAAAATTCACATCATTCTGGTTACCAGGTCCTTTTTCATTTCAAATTGGAATTGATTTTAACAGCTGCTAGCCTATTAAATTTAGAAATGTTTTCTTTACCAGCTTTCTCATGGTGTAAAACATTGACAACTACCAGTTTGTGAAATATTAACTGCTAAGACCTTGTCAGCACATTAAAAGAAAAGAAGGACAGCAGTTAGAATAATGTGATTCTAAAGTCAAATTTAGTAGGATGTTCATTAAGCCTTGTCAGTTTTGGAATTCACTCCCGAGCTATCTGGAATCAGGGCCTGCAGCAGAGCTAGTCTCCACCCAGCCTCATCAGTACAGGCAGCCTGCAGCTGGTGGCCTGACTAGTTACACAACCTGATTGGCTGCAAAGGCCAGCAGGCCAACTCTTAAGCCAGCAGCAGCAGCTCATTGCTTCTCCATGCTCATACCCACCACTGTGCCCACTCCTGCCTTGCACTCAGCCTTTCCTCTGTCCTGCCCCTGCCTTGAAACCCTCCTGGCTGATACCCTGCTCTCTACAATTCCTGACCTCCAGTTTGACCCTCAGCTCCTGTTCCTGATTATGGACTACAGTTCAACTCTTGGGTCTGGTACCCAGTTTCTGCCTTCCGGTTTTACCCTTGGCTTTGGCTCTGGCTGCTAGGCCAGCTGCCCCTCCAGCCACGAGGCCAGACTGCCCTCATCCCATTCAGCTGACACCTACCTTTGGTCTAAAGTAGCCTAAACTGTTGAACTTCAGGGCACGCTACATAAACCATTCATTTCCTATGGCTTCTGGGGAGGACTGAGTTGGGCAGAAGAAAATTTGAGGTCACAAATACAGCAAAAGATTTAAACTGATTTTTGTTTTCTCTGTGTTAGGACACATTGGGTGAATGTTGTGTAGACTATTTTAAAAACTGCTCAAAACAGAGACAAGGATATAAAACACACACTACACAGGTAATGCAAAAATAATGTTTTGAGGATTTAAAATAAATCTGTGCACAAAGTCTACTCAGTAATAATCCAATTTTTAGTTTATTTCCAAAAAAACGTGACACAAAGTAATCATTTTCAGCAGACAGACAGATAACATAAGAAGAGGCAGCAAATATTTTGAGCTGCTTCAGAACTAAAGCGCTCTCTTCAGTAAGATCAAAACTCACCTGGCAGAAGAGATGGCCCTCCTTTTCCCTTTTAGCAAGGCTAGAGAGGTAACAATGAACAACAAGGTGGGAGTCATCTAATACTGTATTAAACCACCGCCGTGTGGGAAGCAAGGCCTAAAATAAATAACTTGGCATTAGTAGTAGTCTTAACATACATGATTTTGAAACCCATGGCTTTCCATATATATCTTCTCTGCATTTCAAGACGGCGGGTCAGGACAGTCCTGCATCAACAGATGGTGATGGTTATTTACATAAAAGAAAATCTTCCCAGAGACATCTATCCTAGCATGCAATTCACCTGTGCTGACTCCTGTTTAAGTGAGTGGATTTTGTGCAGGTATCTGAATCCATGAGGGTGGAGCCTTTTACAGGATCAGGGCCTCAGAATGCACACCTCACTATTGAGGTGTATTTGATTTGTTTGATTATTTGTATTTTGTGTTTGATTAGCAGGACAAAGAAGCAATTATTTTATTAACGATATCCTTGACCTTCATATCTGTTGTACAATGCAAAGAGGCTTTTTTTGAGAGCATTTTTTAAAAATGTAAAAGCTGAGTCATTCCCTTATATTGTGTGCATATTTTATTTTTAAATTTAAATACTATTCAAGACTTGTATTTCTCATGCCACCAATATCAGTAAATGTACTTCGCTAACTATAATAAGATGATAATCATTCCATTAAACTTTACTAAAAACAATGGATCTCACAATTTTTCACATATTAAACTATTTAAGCCTTATTAAAATCTTTCCTGATGTAAGGGAAAAGAGAGAAATGACTTCACTCCCACCACTGAAATACAGATATTACTTTTGTATATTATTGCAGCTGTTCAACAGCACATATTAGGTAACAGTTTAGGACAAGAAATGAAGAATACCATACTCAATTGAAAATAAAGATAGAATTGAAGCAGCCAGAATGTAGTTACCACCACTAAGTAATCAGAATAAGGGGGGTGGAGGAAACAGTATGTCAGTGCAGTAAATAATAACTGTCATTCATAGTCACACACACACACACACACACACACAAAAAAGCCATCAGTCAAACCACTACAGTTTCCTTCAAAAACATATCATTTGCAAGTGGCAGAATGGCCAAGTAACTTAGATTCAACTGTAATGGATGTAATTTAATATGAAATGCCCTGCAGGAGGCAGAGGCAAGAGAGACCTAAAATGTATGTAAAAATACTCCATTCACATGGGACATGCTACAGAGAAGAAAGAACATGATGGCTTTTTATAGCTAGTTTCTAGTTCGCCCGTTCCAAGCAGTACAGCAAGCTTCACAAACTATTTGAACTCAAACTCTCCTGTAATACACATAGTAGAGATAGCAGACACTAAATTTACTGCTTCTTGGCCTTTTGGCTAAGATCCAGCATTGTACCCCAATCTGGGTCTATGCTGGTTATGTATTATGAACGTATCTTGTGAACCTTGTAACTGATACTTGTAATCTCTCATAACTCAAGCCTGACCCCAGATGTACAGTACCCTCCTTCTTAACGTGTATAAACTTGATTTTAAACATTAGCTTTAATAAAAATGTCCTCTCTCCGGGGACAGTGCCCTGTACTTTCAAAGGGGTGGCCCGGATGATCTAATTAGTCTTTTGTTACTAACTGCTATGATCCTAGGAAACTAGGGTGTTTAGCAAACGGCGAGTTAACACTTATATTACTGTATCAAACACTAAATCACCTGTACTTATGGTTTCTGTAAGTGCCACCATCATGATCTTTACAGAGTTTAATGAAGATGAAGTAATTTAAAATAAACCTACTATTTATAGTGAAACTATATCAGCATCACTGATGTGTGAACTAATGCCTTTTAATTTTCAAAGTAGCTGAACTAGAGAAACCCAGAAGAATGTCACACCTCCAGTACTTGCAGAGATCATATTTTATAGAACCTCACTGCCCCCTGGGGTTGTTTTACAATACACTGTACTGCTTTTGTGGCAGGAAAACAAAAAAGTCTTAATTTCTGAAGTAATTTGGCTGTAGTAATAGAGTAAATCATGGCTTTTTTTGATACCTCAAATGATAATTAGTTAATTTGCTAAGACTATAAATACATTGACAGAGGCATAAAAATTATAAGTACAACTAAAAATTAAAGGAATTTACAATTAGAATTTTCCTCTGAATTTCCCTCCTACAGTTAACCAAGGTATCACTTTGCTAGCTACATTCTGAAACAGCATACAGTTGGTAAAAAAAAAAAAAAAAGGACATTGTGAACTTCACACTACAGTAAATGCTACTTATTAGCAAACCCCTCAGTTGACAGCAAAAAGTTGCCATTATCCAGCAGTTGCCAATAAGCAGAAGGCAGGTTTGTGGGGCTATAGCCAGGGAAGGAAGCACTGGGACGTGGGCAGGACGAGAGCAGAGATATGTGCCATACAGCTAGCTCTGTGGGCCCCCCTGGACCACCACTTCCCATGGAAAGCCCAGGCATCTGAACTACTGCCCTGCCCATAGCCTTCCCTCCAAGCTCGAATTCCAACAGGGGGTTCCCCTTTGGGCAGGGATGCAGGAATCCCAGCCACTTACTTCCTGTGTAGTCCGCAAGTGCAGGAAGGTTTGAGGGGCTGCAGCCAGTGAAGGCACATCCCAGAGCCTCCTTCCCTAGCTGCAGCCCTACAAACCTGCCTGAGTAGAGGCATATCTTCCGAAAAAGAGTTCTCAATAAGTGGCATGCTATTGCCAAAATCCAAATCCCATTAAAGTCAATGATGGACCGGTTCCCAGCAAAATGTTGCTATTAACCAGAAGTTGTTAATATCGGGGTTACTATTAAGCAGCATCCACTGTATCCACAGAAAGATCAATATACAACATTTTCCTATTACAGCCAGTGAGGGAAACCAAGCCAACTGTAATCCCATCCAACGAAAGGTTCTGTGACAAAGCAGTGTTTTTCTCTGCCTATCAAGCTTGTCATGAACACAGCAGATATTGAAGTGAAAGTCCTAACCCCATTCAAGTCAGTCAATTACAAAACTTCCACTGACTTCAGTAGCACCAGGTGTCTGTTCATCTTTGCTCATACCAGTGGTGCAGCATAGCTGCCGCTATGGCAGGCTCCCTGCCGGCCCCACACCGCTCCCGGAAGCAGCCAGCGCAGTCCCAGGGGTGGAGGGGTAGGGGTCTCCCTCCGCACACTGCTCCTGCCTGCAAGCACTGCCTCCGCAGCTCCCATTGATCAAGAACGGAAGGCTGTGGCCAATGGGAGCTGGGAAAGTGAGTGAGGGTGGGGTAGAGCAAGCGGCCGGGGGGGTGGGGGGAGGGCTGGGAATGGAGTGAGTGGAGTGGGGCCTCAGGGAAGGGGCGTGGAATCTGGGAAGGGGCGGGGTAGATCCTGGATTGCCTTTAAATTCAATCAGTGAATTTGGGCATAAAAAGGTTGGAGACCACTGCTCTAGTGCCATGACCACTGCAATTTAATGAATCATCATTTAATCATGGTGTTAATAGATGCAGTCAATACCTCTTCCATAAAGACTCATTGGTTTCACACATCAGTTGCAGATTGAAGTTTCTAAATCAGTGCTTGCAAACTTCTCACTGATTTTGAAGTCTTGTTGTATAGCATTTCAGGCAGCTTTTTTTAAAAAAAAAGGAATTATCTGTGCTTTCTGAGGCTGCAATTGGCAATCCAAAATGTTTCAGATGGCCCAAGGTACATTAAGAGCACAGCTCTTGTAATGGATCCAAACCTTTGAACATTCTTGTTGTTTTCCAGAATTATTGCCTCTGCTCCAATCACTGTCTACTTGTTTTGGGCAGTTTAAGTTCAACACTTGCACACACTGGCAATCTGCCCTGCTTATAGTCAACAATGATCAGTCGTCTATGCAGCTGCCATGGGGCAAACCCCTAACTATAGGCAGGCAAAGCCACTGTTTGCATGGGTGCAGCTTACCTCATTTTAAACTGGGGACATGCTTCACCAGTGCAAACTGTGGATTACTGCGCGAAGAGGTCTGGTTTGGCAAGTCTGTGTCAGTGCACAGGACGACACACGCTAGGCTTTTTACAGACAGATTTAGTAATACATTAGAAAATTTTGTTCCCTCCAGACATGGAGATTGAACCCATTTCCATCTGGACTAGTCTATGTACAGTTAGAGGTAAATGAGCAGTACATGCTCAGAAAATATTCAGTATGTTCTCTCCAAAAGCATTTGCTTTGGAGAGACACTATCTTACCTCTAGATCTATCATGAGTTCGATGAATCTTTCACAGTAATGAACTCTGTCCATGGAAAGAGGACCTAGGCACAAAAAACAAAACATCCCTGCAACTCATCATTTATTCAACATCATTGTTCCACCACATTTCAAAAATTAAAAATATTTCACATTTAAACAAGAGCTAAAAAGCTGAAGCTCCCACAGCAACACGGCTATTAGCCAATAATTAACATTTCTTAGAGACACAAGGTGGGTGAGGTAACATCTTTATTACCTCACGCACCTCTTCTCTCTAATATCCAGGGAGCAACATGGCTACAACAACACTGCAAACATTAATGTTTCTTAGCATTTAATCAGTATTAGATTAATAAAATTACGGGCTCATTCTTCCATTATTCTGAAATGCTCCCCCAAAACCAAAACAGATTTTCAGATGGAAAGAAGTCAGAGGCTAAGATATTCAGAAATAACTAGTGAGTTTGAGTGCCTCAATTTAAGATTGGCCAATCTAACACACCATGAAGGGACCAGATTTTCCCAAAATGCTGATCACCCACTCTTCGAAAATTAGGCCTCTATAGTATTTCAAACCTGAGCATGCAAAATTGAGGCTCCTAAAGTCACTAGTCACTTTAAAAATTCTTGGCCGTGACTTTTTTTTTTTTAATAAAAGGACTTTACAATTTCAAAGCACTCAGTTCTGATTTTTGGAATTACCTATTAGAGCTCAATTATGGATCCTAAGACTCGGAGTCACACTAGGAAGTAGAGGAAGAACAAACAATAAGCAGCAAAACAGTTATCCTCTTAAGACTCCTGGGCTGAAAGACCTGCTGTTCACATCTAGCAAGTGTACTCAACTTTAACACAGAGCACCCATTGGGCTTCCCAGTGCCTGCAAGCAAACTTTGGCTATCCATTATAGGGCATAATTAACATTCAGAAGTAATAAAGGACAGCAAAACAAGAAACTAGATTTCACTTGGAGAAAACATTTTGTTTGATAATTAAATTTGAGATGCAAGTTATCCTTGGACCAGTCACCTTTAAGTCCTTTCCCCTAGCCTGACTGTATAATAAATATATGCATACTGTGGCAATGCACTCTCATCAAATAATACAACTGCATTTCCATAAACCAGCATATGTAGGTAAGAAAAGCGGTGTGAATCCAGTGCACGGAGGGTACAGAAGCACGCACAGGATTGGGGACATTCTGGAACCCTGCTTCAAGAGGATTACCAATGGCTCTGCATAGTAGCTAGGTTTGGAGGTTGACAGCAGTTGGCCAGGGAGGATCAAAGTCAATGGATCCACTACTATACAAATCCAATAGATTTTGCCCCTTGACAAACCAAGGACATTGGAATGGAAATAGCTGCAGCAGCAGCCACAGCTTGGACTGTATAGCGGAAGATTCTTTTCCCCATCCCTCACGGAATCCCCCTGCATCAAGCTTGATTATTCTAGATAGGTGCAGAAAACAGCCTTAAGCGACACACACAAGGTCACACAGCAAGTCTACAGCACAGCTGTGAATCATAAGGTTTTATTTAAATAAAGCTTCTCCTGCTAAGGTATTAAGATAAAAATGTAAAAGATAAGCACAAGATATAAATATAATTAAAATACAATTAAAAATATAATAAACCACTATAACTCAAAATTCAAACAAATAAAACCAATCACAAGGCTCCAATATAAAAAGGGAATAAGGGCATGGAGAAGTGGGCCAAAAAGGGGGCCAAGACTAATCTTTCTAAAAATAAACTCTCAAATGAAATAGCTTTGACTTTTTTTTATTTTATTTTATTATTACAGGGAAGAGAGATGAGCCCTGACAGATGTCGATGTTAGTGATCTAGGAAGTATCTTTTCCACTTTCCCTGCTGCTTTACAAGATGATTCACTAAGGGTTACACTGACCCAGATGAAGGAGGCATGAGCAGAGCAGTCATACAGGAGCCTCAAATAGGCCTGTGGGGAGACTCTTAGAATCACACCAGTGAGGAGGGTACTGGGTCTACATTAATGAATATTCAGTTTTCTAGTATCTTCCAAATGCTAGGAATTTTGGACTTATAGCAACCTAATGCACTACTACAAGCTAACATTTTCCAAAACTAAGAACAGGGGTCCTGAAGGAGCTATAGCCTAAGCTGATGCTGAAATTGTAGTAATAGCCTTTATTGCAGGTTTAACACTGCTTCCTGTACTAATACATTTTCCTTCAAAATTGGGCATGCATATTTTCTTGTCAGACCAATTTTCTGCTGAAGACACATGAAACCCCACTTTTCATATATGTTTTTGTTCTCCTTACTATAACCCCACAGTACTGAGAGTGCAGGTTAATGTTGTGGACTTAAGTTCTTTGCTGAATGTGGGACTTAAGTATTTGCTTAAATTCTGTTGTCAATGGGACATAAATCCTTTGTTGAACAGAGATGAACTTCAGCACATGTCTAAGTGCTTTGCTGAACTGGGGACTTTGTTCCCTCTGAAGCTTCTGGCACTGCCAATGTCAGAAGACAAGATACTAGGCTAGATGGACCATTGGTCTGACCATGCATGACCATTCTTATATTATTACAACCGAGAAGAAACTCTGTAAAGTAGCATTCCAATTTATTTTATTTTAAAAAAATATAGAGATTTAAACCCCCCCGAAGACAGATCCATGCAGGCAGATCCTATATCACACAATTTCTCACTGAAGTAAATGCCCAAACCTATTGGATCTGACGGAAGGATTGTGGCCTTAATAGTTGGTTTAGCACCACAGGAACTTCTAAATGATACCTGAAAAAATACACACATATTATATACATGCATGCACACAAAGTTACCTGAATGGGGTATTGATTTTAGCACACAGATAAATTTCTGGATGAGCTGTGAAAGAAATCTTCTCTCTCGATATGCCCTAAAAATCAGACATAGGATCAAAGTATTAATATTTCATAAATGCTGCCTAGAAGTATGTTACATTCCTTATTAGCATAAGAGGTTGTAAACTGAATGTAATTTATATCCAGGGTACGTTTATTTTACTAGAATTGTTTCTGGGAACTTTGAAAATTGTACCTTAACTCTTCCGCATCATTTTTAAACAGCAGCAGCAAAACCAAGATATTTTTTGTCAGCAATCATTTTCTCTTATCACCAATCAAAGTGACTTACCACTTAGCATAGCCAGCATTTGTAACTTTACTGCAAAGAACTCACTCACTGATTACCACTTTACCATTGAGTCACAGAAAGTACCAGTAAGTGATCGCAATGCAGACAGCAGGTAACTACTGATGCATCACAGATGTATGCTGCATCTTATGCACAGCAGAATGTAAGTGTTTAGAACAGTTAATATTGCTGGGTAAGAGATACATAAACTTCTTCAAAATACACCATTAAGTGTAAGCAATAAGGCTTCAATAATTTCTAAAATCTGTGAGAAAGGGAAATATTTATTCATCAATTATGTGGAATGTTAATGTTCTTTTTCGGTTTTCATCATATAGATTTTTTCAAGATCTGGTTAATCTGTTGATTAATTGGCGATGATTCAATATATAACCCCTATAAGCATTTCACATGGGATAATCTGCTGGAATGTTGTTCTATAACGCTGTGTCCAGAAGCAGTGCACTGTCAACTGCTGATTTCTGTCACTCTAAGATCTATTTAATTCAAACAGATTTATCTCAGGAATACTAAACTGAACCACTACATTACATGCTTTGAATTTAACATAAAAAAATGTTTTTATAACATACTGCATTCGTGTCTTTTCATCCATTTTCTCATCATTCTTCTTGATCAGATTCCAAAATTTTCTAAGCTTTGGTGTCTTTTTCAGTTCTTGTTCCAGACGTGCCTGAAAAGGTGAAATGGTATTTAGCCACCAAAAACAATTATGAACTCGCTTTCATTATACAGGATAAAAATTTAGTTAGGAGGAAAGGGGGAAAAAATGTAGCACCATGCACAAATAAAAATCTAAAACTAGCCATCCAAGAACATGATCAGGTTTCCCCAAACCTTTTCTCAAGTAGTACCTCATACAATCAAGGTTATAACACTTTATGATAGAGACACATTGCACGAATTAATAATCTACTGATTAGTCAGACCTCGATGGTCTGCTGAGAGTCTTTAGAAAAGAATCATCTTCCAATATTCACATCCTGAGATAAAACATTTTTAGAAAACAACAACAGAAAACCTCACTACCAAAAAACCTTGAAAATCTGGTTACTATTTATTGACTTAATCGAAAGATCTGCAGGAGTGAAGCCCACAGAGTATTTTTGGTTTATGAATTAATAACCAGTGTAACCGAGTTCCTCCTCTACCTTGGTGGGTCTTGTGCTTATTGGCGGATTTGCTCGCCTTGGAGCTTGACGGCAGCCCTCAGCTTGGCCGTTTTACTGAACCCACAGTCCAGGTCGACTCCTCCTGTGTCTGACCAGGAGTTGGGAGGATTTGGGGGGAACCCGGGCCCGCCGTCTACTCCAGGTTCCAGCCCAGGGCCCTGTGGAATGAAACTGTCTAGAGTGCCTCCTGGAACAGCTGTGCGACAGCTACAACTCCCTGGGCTACTTCCCCATGGCCTCCTCCCAACACCTTCTTTATCCTCACCATAGGACCTTCCTCCTGGTGTCTGATAATGCTTGTACTCCTCAGTCCTCCAACAGTCTGCGTTCTCACTCTCAGCTCCTAGTGCCTCTTGCTCCCAACTCCTCACACGCACACCACAAACTGAAGTGAGCTCCTTTTTAAACCCAGGTATGCTGATTAGCCTGCCTTAATTGATTCTAACAGCTTCTTGATTAGAACACCTGCAGCCAATCAGCCTGTCTTAATTGTCTTCAGAAGGTTCCTGATTATTCTGCAACCTTCCCTGTTACCTTATCCAAGGAAAAGGGACCTACTTAGCCTGGGGCTAATATATCTGCCTTCTATTAGTCTCCTGTAGCCATCTGGCCCGACCCTGTCACACCAGATAGTAATGTCTCGTTTAGTGAATTTCCTTCCTTTTGTGTGGTTATTTTCAATTGTTTGTATTAAGAAAAAAATGAAACACCATACTCTACTGTATATTAACTTTCCTTGTCTGTAAAAACAAAATTTTTCAAAATACACAAATACTTTTTCCCTGGGAAAAACAAAAAAAAAATAGATCAAGTATAAGCCATCACAGACCATTCATTACAAGAAACATAATGTACTAGAAGCTCATTAATGAAAGTTAAGCTGTGCAAGGATCAATTGAAGCATACAGGAACATAAAAGTGAATGATCATGCTATCCTTAGCTATAATAATTAGAAATAACTCATTTGGACACCCCAAAAAGATTTTAGTTAATATTGCATTTCTCTCACAAAATGACATAGGAATGTAATACACATTAGCTCAGTATATTTATTCAATTAAAAAATCATTACGGTTGCAAAATCAAGCACTCAAAAGTTAGGAAATGCCAGAAGTAAAGTTTCCCCTATGGAAAAATAGTACATGATCATGGACTATCATAATTCATACACACAAGGGGGCTAATTTAAGATTTTATGGGCCACCTTAATTCAGACTTATCCTAACTTCTGAATTCTTCACTTTGCAATTATATAGAGGGTGGTTTTGCATGCAATTTCCTAGGTTTTTAAAAAATGCAAACTGAAAAGAGAAATTTCATCATGTGGAAGCTCACTGACTCCAACATGGTTCATCAGTATGGTTAGAATCTTTGGACACAGGGCACAGAACTGTGCCATTTAAGTTAACAGATAGTATATAGAAAAGGAATACTTGTGGCACCTTAGAGACTATGCTCAAATAAATTTGTTAAAATTTCATGAGCTACAGCTCACTTCAGCTGTAGCTCACGAAAGCTTATGCTCAAATAAATCTGTTAGTCTCGAAGGTGCCACAAGTACTCCTTTTCGTTTTGCATATACAGACTAACACAGCTGCTACTCTGAAACCTGTCAGATAGTATATAGGTTATCATCATCATCTGTGTGAACCAGCCTCTATAGGGAGATTAGGTACACACTTTGCCAGTGTGTTTCAGGGCTACTTGCTGACAGCAGTGGAATAGAGACCCAGGAATCTTGGGTTCTATTCCAGATTCTGAGGATAGGGTATCTAATGCTTACAAACCCTTCTGTCCCTAGCCCCTCCAGTGAGTCCTTATCCACGTCTCCCTGTCACCTCACAGCTCCTCACACCAGTTCCAGTCCCCACCACAAACATACACATCTTGGTTCTTGATCCCAGACCCAGCTCCCCCAACTCAGCTCCATATCGCAATCCCTAACTCAATTCTTACTCTCTTCATCAGCTCTATCCACTAGTCTCGATCACCACCCCACCACCACCACCACCCCCCTACATTCCTTTGCATTCTAGTCAGGCTGCATTCCAGTCAACGCCAGCAGGGGAGCATTAACAACACAGGAGACATTCTCTCTGCTTACAGTTCCTGTTGCCACAGTGGCCCCCTGGCTGCCAGACAAAGCAACTGCAAGGAAGGTCCTTCTTAGCCCCTACAGGTGCAGCCTAGAGCTGGAGCATGCTCCATACAGATGGAGTCTACAGAGAATTTAGCAGTCACAGTAACAGGTACTGAGCATATGTAAACTGAGGTTCATAACTTGGCCAGATCTGAGCCCTTTTCACAGGGACAGCAGAAAGCACATTCCTGACACCAGGGTGATCTCCCCTGACAAATTTCAAGTCCCTGTTCCAAAGCATGGAGGTGCTAAAGTTTCTCATATGATTACAAGAATGTTTTAAAATGGTCAAAACAATGCATTTTTCCCTGAGCTAGTTCTGAGAAACAGTTGATTTGTTTTTGCTGAATTTAAAAATTATTATTATTAATAAGACACCTGGCATGGAAGATCTCTCAACCCGACTGGTTAAAGTTTGACAAAAAGTTACAAACAACCAAAAACAGGTCTCATAATGGAAAGTATTAGGAAACCTTAACTGCAATAATTGCTATCCCTGCCGCCTAGAATACAATTAAACTAATTTTTGTAAAAGGATGTGGTAGGTCAAGTAAAGAGAAAGTTCTGGCAAACGTAAAGGAGTTTCTTTTTAAAAGCATTGCATAGGATTTTAAAGTACGTGTCTTCCATTAAAGTTAATGGACATTTCATACTTAAAGCCTTGTGCACTCTTTGGAAGGTGTTTTGCCATTTTTTGTGATAAAATACTTACATGTTGTAGGCCCATCCACATTGGCAGGGAGATGAGCTGCTGCACCTGACCCCTGATCAAATCCACTTCCTGTTACAAGATATTAAACAGAGAAGTCAACTTAGAGCATTTAAAATCTGTTTACAGAAATATTATCTTGCAAGCATATTCCTAACACCTTTATGGGCTCTACCCTTCACATAAAAAAAATACACACATTATTGTAGATTTAGAAGGTTTCAAACAGTTACGAAAGAGTTGAGCTCTACACAATGCCATGCTATCTAACAACAGTAACTGGATTATTTTAGGAATCTTCTGTTTTGGTTTGCTTTCACAAATCCTCTGTCAGTACAAGACACTTAAGTTTTCTATTTAATCCATGAAACCCTTTTACCTAACTAACTCAAAGCAGTGTGTCCAACTTAGCAATTGTCACTAGATTTAGTGACTTTTTGGTTTCCCGAGCAAGAAAACAAGTGTCAAAGTGACCAGTGACAAATCTAGCGATTTTCACTGCCAATTACAGTGACATTCAGAGAAAGAAGTCACCAATAGGTATAGTCACAAAATCATTCACAAGCAGCTCAACAGTATTAATAAAATCCATTCCATGCCCTTCTTACTACATTCTGTTGCACACCAAGTCAACGTCATTACGTCTCAATTGAGCATTTCCTTGGAAAGAATTGCATTCCAAGGCTTCTTGGGCTAAGATCACTATAATCTGCAGGCAAGGAAAAGAAGTTTGTGGAGGGTAATTAAAGCCAGGTGCACTTTGGAGAGAGCAGCACATTAGCCAGGGCTTGTTTTTACCCAAATGTGTTCTTGCTTGCTGCTTCATAGTAGATAGCACACCCTGTAATGCAGGGAAAGAAGGCTAACAAATTAGGCAGGGTGGGGGAGGCAGGTTAGCTAGCAAGGAGAGCCACACTGATGGAATGAGACAGGGCCATGTGCCCCAATGGGGCAGGGGAGGCACTGTGCCTCTAAGCCGTTACTACAGGATCAAAGATGGAGTTAATTTGATTTCAGTTCCCCTTTACTCCTTCCCTTGGGTTGGCCTGGGGTTAGCTGCCGAGCTGTTTTCAGAAATGAAACCCTGGAAACAGGGGGAATGGGTCTGGCTAGCAGATTTTTGTTTTTAAATCTACTTTCTTGGTTCCCTGCAGCACTGAGCTCAGGTCAGGCGAATGCCCTCTTCCCCCTGGTTCTGAGCTCTCCCTTTCACTAACCTGTCAGCTCAAATCCAGGATGGCAAGAAAGGGAGGCTCAGCTGAAATTAACCTACCCCAGCCAACCAGTGCTGCAGTATACAGAGCGCCTTTCCCAATGAGCAGAGGGCTGAGGTTTCCTTCCCAGTGAGCAGAGTGCACCCTCTGATGATGACTGTGTACTGTTGTAGTTGCAGCAGAATGTAGTAAGAGCAGCATGGAATGGATTTTATTAACACTATTGAGCTGCTTGTCAATGATTTTGTGACTATACTCGCCTGTATATGTGGTGTGTGTGTGTGTTGAATTCTTTGGAAATGTTGTTCGGTGACATTTTTGACTCCTTCAACAGCTACATCAAGTGACTTTTCAAGGTCTGTCTGGTGACTTCCTGCTATATGGAGTTGGCAATTCAAAGTGAAGACAGACAAGATGTGACATGACCATCTCAATCACTCCCTATGCTCAGTGACAGTGAATGCTCTCCACATACCCTAGTAGCAGCACAAGCCTCATTTGTCTCATGACTCCCATTGCTCCATTCACTCCCTCACAGTTTTCCTCAACCTGATGAGAGGATTTTTTTCTCCACTCAGAATAGAAGCTTCTTATAGCCTCCCCAAAATCTGAAAAATCCTCCCTTGACCCAACTTCCTCTTAATGCACCATCTATAGAATTACCGAATGCTCCATCTACAACTCTGCCCTTGCTCTCCACCCACTTAGTTTTTGCCCTTTCCACTCCACTGAAACTGCTTTCCACCAAGGTCTCCAATGACCTCTTTCTAGTCAAGTATGAGAGGCTCTACTCTATCTTTGACCTTTCAGACCTCCACAATTTAGCATATGCCTTCTTAACCACTATTCTAAATTTATCTTGTTCCCTATTCCATCTAAGATTCCAGCCTACATCACCAGTTTGATCCCAGTTCCAGTCTCCTCCCACAAGCACCTTCATAATTCCTTCCATACTGTGCTATGCATATGGAACATCCTCCCCATATTAGTCCATGAATTCCCACCATGTTCTCTTTCACAGCCCTGAAGATCTACTTTTACGATGATGCCTTTGAGAAAAATGTTAACTCGTAATAGCTAAGCAGAAGAACAACAAAGACGCCTAATACTTATCTTATTTGCTTTCTTACAATATATTTTTACAAAAAAATTAAAACCACCTAGTTATGCACACATCTGGTCAAGGTAAACACATTTTTATTACTGTTTCTCTTAACCATTCTTTCCCATTCCTTCTGGTCATTACTTCTTAGATCCTGTCTTAATTTTATCGTAAGTTCTTTGGGGGACAAACTATATTTTAATCTATTTCTACAGCACCTAGTGCAATACATGTAGGCTTGGAATGATTAAATATTGTATCTCTAAACATCAGTAAAAGTTGATTTCACCATACACACATAACCCAATCAAAAATAATTTGCATCACTGAAATGTACACTGAAATATACAAATAGTCAAAGAAAGAAAAATGCTGCTTGAGAATAACTTAAATTTAACTCTAAGGATATTTACTTTATACTTTGACTTGTGAACAATTTGTATTTTAACAGTTATAAAGCTTTAACTTTTTGAATCTCAGTGATTACTGTCATTAAATAATTATTGTCTGACCCTCCCCATAATGTCCCGCAACTATGAAGATGTAAATTGATTAAAAAACTAAAAAAAAAAAAAAATCCTTAAAAATAAATATTGTATTGATATTATCCATAAAAAAAAAAAAAACACCAGAATTCTCCCAAGCTTAACTACAACACTGAATTTGATTGGTGATTTGTAGGTGAAAACATAATACAAATAATGAAAAACCATCACCACCATGAATGACGGGGGAGCAACATTTCAAATAATGTGTGCGTGTAGAAAACTTATGCTCCAGAGAAGCCACACACTGGACAAAAGCTAGTTCAGCATCAAACATCCATCGTATGTAAAATGCAAATTGCACCAAGTTATAATCTATAGTTTTATACTGCTTCCACTAGAAACTAAACACATACTTTTGTGTGTGCTTTTTAAAGCAACTATTAGTGCGGCAATATATTAATAACTAGAACTGGTTAGAAAGTGAAAAAAATTGCTATGTCTTTTTTCGATGTTTCATCGAAATTTCATTTACATGGAAGTTTTCCATCCAGTTCTTAAGACACAATTATAAAATAAAAGCACATTTCCCAGTATAATATATAGTTATAAATTTTACTGAGCTTAAGACTCAAATAACAGTCTTACGCTCTCTTAAGTCTTCTATAGTACACACTCCACTTATTACAGCAATAAGTGTCCCTCTCCCAACTTTGAGATAAGACACTGCATCCCCTTGCATGCCCTTTGCCATACCAGGAGTCAGTAGCTGGAAGGAGGGAGAAGGGAATGGAAGAGTACACAAGGGCCACAGCAACTACCACAACCTTCCCTACTGCACCCAACTCCTGAGGATAGGAATTTCAATGTATGTCCTATTTAGCAGACTCACCAATTAAATCAATCCAGCTCTCACCTGGAACACTACAACCATATGGAAAATATTCAAACATGTTCAGCATAACTTACTAAACTGTTGAAGCAGTGATCAAGGAAGAGAAGGAGGACTGTCTGTTCATGCAGAGACAGTTCACTGTCACTCTCATCTAATGATGCTTCCAATATACATTTGAAAAAGAAAGGAAAGTGCTCTGGCTTCTTTTTGAATGTCTAGAAATAGAAGGGAAAGTTGTATTTTCAATTAGCTCCAGTCAAAACTATTTACCATCTAAAAAAAAAAAAAATAAAAGAAAAAAAAATTTAAATTCCTATCAAAATCCACACATGAAAAACATTGTGGCTGATTCTCTGCCCTACTTTGGTCCCTTTATGCTTCTTACACAGTACAAATGGAGCAGAGATTGGCCATATCTTCCTGTTCCAGAATTCCCATGGTGTGCAGGAGTCTCCAAGGGCAGAGCACTGGCTGGCTTTGACACACACTTTACCTCGTTTGTGGCCCACGTGATGTGCTGGGGAGGAGGTATGTCAGAAACCTGGCAGGAGTACTCCATGTTTTGGTTAGGCTCAGCTAGCAGAGGGGCCTATGGGACTGTTACCAGCTGGTGCCAGTTAGATCAGCCCCCACACCACTCTAACCTGTGTCCAGTCCCAGTCAGGGAATCAGGTGGATTCTGACTAAAAAAAAAGTCACAGCTGTTTGGTGGTGAGAGCAATGAGTCTTGCTCTAGCTCCTACCCCACAAAGCCACCATAACAGGGGCACTCTCAACAATCTCAGCAGAGAAAACAAGAACTGGATAATCATGGGGACCAGTTGCCCCTCCAGAACAAGACTCAAGGACACGGATAGGAAGGTGTGAGGAGGCTTGCACCTGTCACTTCCCATGCTGTACCTTTGCTGATATAGAAGCTGCAGAGACCTGGGCAAACGGAGTCACTCAGGCTCCAGGTTATTCATCTGTCCTGTTTCACTAACACTGAAGTAATTTCCTTTCCTTTCTCTTGTAAGATCAATATAGTGGGCACTATTAAAAAGTAAACTAACATACTACTGACTTTACTGTATGATCACCTGCCTATACTTGGAATGTATTGAGGTACAATGGGATTTTTAGTAGTAGGGGTTTTTTTAAACTTTGCACATGGTATATTTTTACATCTAATGGGGATCACTATTTCATTGATATATATATATTTTAAACCAGTAAATCATATTAGGACGAAAATGTGCCTCTGCTCTAAAGTTTGCATATTCTATTTCTGCCTAGATTATTTTTAAATATATATAAGCAAGCATCAACAATATAAGAGGTTTACTTAAGAAATGGTATTCTGAACTAGTTACTAGTAAGTTCAGTTCATAAATAAAGCATTTTCAGTTTATATAAGCCACAAAAATATACTCAAAGGTTTCAAACAAGAAGCTGACAGAGATAAAATAGTTGTCCTACTTTCAGTGATACATTTTTACACACACAAATGTAATTTCCTCTTGGCATTTTTCTTTCTACTACCAGAAAAAATCCTTCACCAAATGCCAGACTTTTTGTCAAGTGTCCAAAAAAAACATATCTGAAATGCAAAGCCATTACACAGTAGAACAAATGATTTCATATCAAAGGAGAAATCCATATGAAAAGAAATCTTTCATCTGTCTACTACTTTTCTCAAAAAAAGAACATACAACTGTTTAAAGTACTCTGGCAGACAACCTCAGAAAACACACCATTTACTTTTAACATTGTAGGCTCTGCTACCTTCCATCACTTTAAGTGGGCACAGTGTGAAAGCTGCAACTTGTGGATCAAAGTCAATGCTAGCTGTAACTGAAATTGGTTACCTCCCACGCAGGTACATTTTCTCTGAACTTCTCATTCACCATACAGCAGATTGACATTAAATAGGCCTTACTGGACACCTCTGGAGAATAATTCATCCACAGGTAATTTTCAAGGTACTGGCTGTGAAGAGAAAGAATTTCTCATTAGTTTCCACCACCCACCTAATCTGTCACTTATCTGAAAAAAGCATAATTATCTACAGATTTTTTTTATAATCAATCTTTACAATCTGTGAGTAGCTCCTGAAGTTAAATCTAATCTAGGTCATTGCAGCAAAACTTACTGGATAGGCAGAGTATATGGAGAGAGATGAATTACTCACTTGGAAGACTGTTGATTAAAGAGATTTTACGTGTACTAGGTGGTCACAGCAGAATATCATAAGCCTGGACATTATTTCATGTTGATTTTCCAGTAGCAGTAAATTGAGTTATTCTCTTCATATGACACACACTTCAGATGCTTCCTCTAGTACTCAGATACAAATGCCAGCTTTCTCTCATGAGAGAAAGCTCTATGGCATAACACCACACTTTATGAAAGGATTATCAAGTAAAATATATATATTAATAACAGAAAATGACTAAGCAAAGATTATACAAAGAAGTGGTCTACAAAGGCAACAAAATGGTGTAGTTCCACAGGGCAAGCAATCTAAAGAAATTAACACATTAGACTGAATAAAACCCAAAATCCTAATTTGCCTTTGCAACTGCAGAGCCCACAAAAGCTCCATGAGCTCATTTTTATTTATTTACAGCAGTTCTACCCAAAACCAGAATGCCTGAGCATCACACACAAACATTAATGGATTTAGCCTCACAATGCCCCCTGTGAAACAGGTAAGTATAATTATACTACTTTTACAGATGGGAAAACGACAGAACAGTTAAATGATTTTCCCCAAGGTCAGAAAGAATATCAATGGCTGAGTCAGGAACAGTAATCAAGTCTCCTTAGTCCCAAGATTTGGCCTTACTTGCCCCCAGCCCCTTTCAAAGACTGCAATCCATCTGTGGTTTGTATGACAACTGGACTCAGAGGAACTATATTGGGGAAGTAAGGGCATGTTCAGTTTTCCTGTAATGTCTTAGCTGGGAGGCTTTTTCTTCTTTGACTGATAAGCTAAAGCCCTCTACATGGGAAACAACTTTAAAAATAGAGGTCAGTCAAAAGAGATGAATCAAGGTCACTTCTGACAAAATAGGCCTCCACTCTTGATGGGAGCCATGATTTGGTGCTACAAAACAGGCAACCTCCAATTCCCCTAAATCCTTCACTCCTGAGGGGAGCATATAAGGAAATTCTGCATGCTGAACCAAATGGAGGAAGACAGAATATCTGGGAAGTTTCCACAGGCTTTTCTTTGAGAGGATACGATATGAGCCCAGAGTAAGTACTTAAATAAACAAAGTCACTAATAGTTACAAAAATTACACAAATAAAATAAACCACTATAAAGTAAACAAGAAATAGTGTTCTCAGTAATTCTCGCTTTTTACAATCTATGACATCAAATTAAGCAATTTCTTTACAATTAAAAAAACTCCAACTAATATGTTAGAGTGTGGTCTGAAGTTTCACATACCTTGCTTATAATTGAGAGGTAAACTAAAGCCCTTTATCAAAAATAAATAAGCCTTGAAGTACTACAGTTTGAATAAAGGAATGCTGCTATTTAATTTGCTATTGTTATTAATTTGCTTCCCAAACATTACAAATATTTCATAAACACTTATCCATCTGACAACAAACTTCAGGTTACCCATGGATATTAGATGAACTATCCCAACAATTTTATAGAAAAAAAATAAATACATTTTATATCAAAAGGGTATATAGTGCTGCACAAGAGGAGAGCAATGCCTTAGCAGTAACTTCTCTGCCCAAAGGGACTTGCATTCTAAGGACAAGGTTGGTGCACCACAATACAGTGCAGAAATGGAGTGGCACGTGGCCATTCTAAAGATGGAGGGTTTGCAGGATTAGCCCTCTATGTATAATTTGTTGGGAGTTGCACATATGGACAGTTTGCACAATTGGGCCCAGAGTATGGAGAGTGGTCAGCCCCAATAGGTGAAGAAAAAGCCTCACATCACTCAGAGACACTTCTGCGCTCTTTGAAGATTCTCTGGTTTTTGCAAATGTGCTTGCCCAGTCATCCTCAACTGGTAGAATGGTAGCTGATGGGGACTCAAGGATAGGGAAACATGAAATGTGTATATGAAGATGGAAAAGACTGAGGCTCTGATAGGGAGATGGGGAGAGACAGAAAAGACACAGGGTTTAGGGAAATAGTGGGGAGTATCAGCACAAAGAACCTCTAATACAACTTAAAGAATGGGGGCTTATTGGAAAGATTAAAACAGTACATACTACAGAGTACAGTAAAAGCTGGGTTATCCAGCCCTATACTAACCGGAAAGCTCTATAAACCGGCATTTCTAATCTTCATTGAAAGTCTGGTTTATAGTCCAGTTGGCACGAGGCAGACAGGCTTCCTACCTCACTCTGCATGGCTCCACGGAAGCGGCGACATGCCCCTGCTGCTCCTAGGTGGAGGAATGGCCATGCGGAGTTCGGAGTGCAGGAGGGGGATGGGAGCAGGCGGTTGGGGTACAGGATGGGGCTTGGAGTGCCAGATCCAGGGGGCACTCACCATGGGGCCGAATCCTGTCCTGGCTGCTCCTAGGCAGAGGTGCAGCAGGTGGCTCTGCACACTACCTCTGCCTGCAGGCGCTGCCCCTGCAGCTCCCATTGGCCACGGTACCTGGCCAATGGGAGCTGCGGAGCCAGCACTCGGGCAGGGACAGCGCGCAGAGCTGCCTGACACGCCTCCGCCTAAGAGCGGCCAGGACAGGTCACCGCTTGTGGGGAGCCACCCAAGGTGAGCTCCTCCTGGATCCGGCACCCCGAACCTACTCCTGCACCCAAACTCCCTCCCAGAGCCTACCCCCCAACCCCAGCCCCACACCCCCACCCACACCAAAATGCCCTCCCTCTTAGTTAACTGGCATTTTTCATTTACTGGCACCCCCCATTACCCCAACATGCTGGATAAGACAGCTTTTACTGCATTTCTTTAGAAGGGTATCAATGCCAACTGGAAATGAAGTAAGCAGCTACTTAATCGCCCTCATCAAAACCAGAATTGTATTTGATGTTGTCCTCATATCTTTTCAAATACAAAAGGGAGGAAACGGGAGAAAATGCCAACATTTAAAAAATGAACATTTTGTTTCTAAGCTTATCCTACATTTCTAATAAATGGGCCCATTTGTATATCACACTCCTTCCCTTCATCTCTTGCCAGCAGAAAAAGGGATAAAAAGCTTGTGTTTCACAGAGGCGAAGGGACAGTTTAGTCCTGGCCAAGTGCCAGCTCATGCTACCTCCCCAGTAGGTGAGCTAGAGAAATCAAAGCGAAATCAAATATTAATTTACAATTAATGTTGGCATTTCATACATTTTCTTTTTTTGTGGTTTATCCATTACAGTGAAACTTTAAAACAATAAAGCAGACTTTTTCTTAATCATTTCTAAATATCAGATTTCCTTCACCTGACAAGTGAACAAGTCATACTACTGTCCTTAAAATGCAGCATACCTCACAAATGTTGCACATTAATTATGTGCCTGATCCAAAGACTCCCATGGGCTTTGAATCAGGGCCTGTAAGAGGTGTCCACAATTTATCACTACTCTCTGCATAATTGGTACTCCTTTTCAGTGCTCTATATTTATTTACATTACAAATTCAGGGTCATGAAACAAGACCTTCTAAAAAGTGTTATCCCACATCATATCCAGTTTTCTGCACTAAATTTTCCTATTTGTCTCATTCTGAGCTTTAGCAAGTGTAGATGGACGAAGTGTACTACCTTGCAAGCTCCTGCGTCTGACCTTTAGTTTCACTGGTTATCATAGAGAGTTAATTTTTATTTCACTCCAAAACTTACCTGAATTCAAGAAGCATTATCTTTCTAATGGCAAACCTAAAAAGGAAAAAAGGACAAAAGTGAAACAGAAAAGAAAAACTCTCATGCTTATCTTCAGTATAGACAATGACTCAGAAAAAGTGTAAAACTTTTCTTTTACTTCATGATTTGTAAATAAAAGTTGTACTCTTCTTCTAAAACTTCTGTGCAACTTCTTTCAGATATTGCCTTGAAATGACAGCTAAATGGATCCCAAATTAACTTCAGTACCTATTCTTCAAAGGCAACAGATTAGATTTTGAAGGAATCCCACATGAATTCACTGTAATAAAAATCTACAAATGGTAATTTTTAACCCAAATTATTTTGGTTACTTTATAGGTAAAGAGGATTAAAAATAAAGCAACTGTAAATCAAACTCTGATGTCCCACATTTTAAAATCATATCTCTAGATCCTGAATTTGCTTCCAGGGATGTTAACTTATACGGATTCCATGAGCCTTCAAGGATATCAGTTGCTGCTCCCTCTCCTCTGGATACAGTCATGGAATGTTGTTTTTAACCTTACACAATGCTTTGCCTCATCCTCTTCTCTATTTAATATTAAGGCTCATTAGAGTATGTTCAATTGTTTGTGCATGTGAAATATTCTTTTTAGCAAACTGTTATTAGTAAACTAGGGAAAAGACATGAATAAGACAACTACCAGAAGAGGAGGTCTCCCTAGCTGTCAGCTCCTTTACACATCTCAAAGAGGAATAAACTGTAGGGAGATCACAGAGGTTAGGAAGGAAAGATTCATCTCCCCATTGACTGGGAACTGGGGGAATGCTAAAATTAACGATCACTACAAAGACCACCTTAGGCTACAACAAATCACATAAAGGGAACAGAGAACGGAATTCAGAGAATGATTTATTCACTATATCAGACCATAGTTAGATCATAGTTCTAGCCATAAAGAAAGCTTACATTTAATCTCTGAAATCACATAAGTCAACCAACAGCCATTACTACACTTTTCATTCATTTTCTAACTTTCATATTATTAAAGTACCTTAAATCAGCATGAATACATGTCTTCAACATATTCTAAATAATAGAGGAGCAACATTGTACTGACCTTGATTTGACAATTTCTTTTGTATACACATCTTCAATAACCTATTGCAAATGATACATTAAAAATTATATTAATTAAGAATTCATACTTTCGGTTGGATTCATTTTCATATTCTAGACATTAAGGTTTCTGAAATCAGAATTGCCATTAACTAGATGCTCTGTGTTTAATAATATTTGGGGAGTCCTCAATTATATCAATACTACCTTGCATCCTTATTGCACTTTTCCTCCACAGATCTTAAAGAGCTCTACAAAGGTGGGTAAGGTCTCACAGGAAGTCTTTGGCACTGCTGACTAAACCCAATTTTGAAACTAACTAGTAATTCTGGGTAGCCAATTTAAGTTCAGTAAGTATTGCGCAACTGCCCTCAGAAATTCAGACCCCTTTAAGATCTTTCAAGTTGGGCAAACACACACACAAAAAGAGGTATCCAAAACCACTAGAAACTTTTGAAAATCTGGGCCCATGACTTGTATGCTAGATGACACCATCACTACAGAACTTCATCCAGCAACCACACACTATATTTTTCATTATTTTTGCTTCCTTTAAGCCAAGAATTGAGTGTTAGGGCTGTCCTTGCAAAGCACATGGGAGCTGCCTGTAATATTTCATAAATATTATATATTCCATCTGTTTGCCTTCGTTACTGTGTTGTTTATAAGGAATTAATTCAAAAAGAGGATAGTTGCACATAGGCAGAAAGAGAGACAATAGCTTCATAAGCCCATCTCCATAAACACTGGATTGACAGTGCTAGAGCCATCTGCTGTGATGCAATGGCCAGATCCCACAACTGGTCTTGTTAAACACATTTCTACAGGAATGTCACAGCCCTGTAAAGATTGTGGGGAGATCAAAAGCCTCAAAGTTTTAAAGACAGACAGGAAGAGGGAAGATGGTAAGGTGAAGAGTGAGGCAGACTGCTGGGGAGGAGATTGAACCTCAGTCCCCATAGACAAAGAGGGTCCGGGATAAGTTAGGCCTACATAACCCTTTAGGTAAAACTGATATGTGCATAGGCCTTGTACTGTGTTAAAATCCTTTTTTATTTTTATGCTTTGTTTTGGGTCACCCGTCACGGCTGAGCAAGCACGGTTGGTGCATAGGGTGCTATCCTATCATGATCTATGATTGGTAGGATCATAGTATTCCACCCCAAGACAGGTGAAAGCAAGACACCTGTAAGGGTGATGCACTCTGGGAGTGAAAAGAATGGGTCAGAGGTGCAAACGGCCCTCTGAAACATGACAGTCCCTATAAATGTCACTGGTTGCCAACATGACACGTTTGTTCCTTCTCTGTGGAAACTTTTGTATTTCAAGTATTTAAGATTATACTGATCATGTTTACATGAAGACAGCCAGGATCTATCTACACTGCAATTAAACACCTGCAGCTGGCCCATGTCAGCTGACTCGGGCTCGCAGGGTTTGGGCTACTGGGCTATAAAACTGCGGTGTAGATATTCAGGCTCGGGCTGGACCCTGAGCTCTGGGACCCTGTGAGCTGGGAGGACCATACATCTACACCAAAATTTTACAGCCCTGTAGACCGAGAACTGCGAGACCAAGTCAGCTGACACGGGCCAGTTGAAGGTGTATAACTGCAGTGTAGACATACTGCCAGTGTCAAGCAAGCAGTTTCACAGACCTGCTGCTTCCATACATGTCAGAAGATGCTAGTAAAGTTTACAAAGAGAATCTAAAATATTAGGTCTCCTGAGCACATATTCCTAAATTTACTTGTATAACACTAGTAATAAAATAATAATAATAATATTGATAACACTGATTCCTTATATAATGCTTTTCATTGGTGGATCTCAAAGTTTCACAATCTTTTAATGCATTTATCCCCACAACATTTATCCCCTATTGTTGTGAAATAGGAAGGCATTTTATGGATAGGGAACTGAAGCACAGAGGCTAAGTAACTTGGAAGTCTATGGCACAGCAGGGAATTGAACCCATGTCTCCCACATCCTAGGCCAGTGCCCTAAGCACTGGACAATCCTTCCTCTTAGTCTATGCTATCACCACAAAGATGATCTGATGCATCAAAAGACCCAGAACCTTAAGGAGTCATCTACTATACAATTATAACAGGTAGATGAGCTAATTACAGCTCAGTTTCAATTTATTTACAGTGCAGACAAGATCTTAACTAAAGCCCCAGACATGTTATAGTGGAATCTATTGTAATTAGATCCACTGACTCACCTGTTGCTGTTGGGTACACAGAACCAAAGTTGGGTTTGGATTCTGCACCACTGCGTAACACAAAATTTGCGCAGAATTGATGTTCCCCACAGATTTTACTCCCCCCCACAGAATTTGTGATTTCTCCCACCCACTGACAGCCCCAGCCACCCGTGGCTGATAGCAGGAGCATGATTATATTGTTATTCCGACAAATAAAATATGCAGAATTTTGCAGACCTTTAAAATATCATGCACAGAATTTTTATTTTTTTGGCATATAAATCCCCCAGGAATAGTTTTGGATGCTCTATTATGCCTGATCCTGAAAACATGTGTACTTAACTTTATACACAAGTAGTCCTACATAAGGAACTAATGTTGCTGACAAGAAGAAAACTGCAGCCCTTCAACATGGTGAAGGCAAAGACTCTTGTCCATCTCCTGGATGGAAAAGACCAAGGACTCTTACGTTAGAAATATTATTGGACAGAAGCTGACTTATGTACTTTGATCGCATCAGGTGAAGAGCTGGAAATAACCTTGAGAAAATTATCATGGAAGAAACGGTAGGAAGTCATCAGAGTGGGGGACGACCAGTGAGGAGAGGATTAGCTGATGTGCGACAGATCACAGGTAGGTCATCTGCTGAGCATGTAAAGTTAGCAAGGGATCAATAAGTCTTCAGAAACTTCTACTATGTCATCCCAGCATTCAGATATGAATAAATGGGTTTACTACTACTACTTCCTAGTCCTACATAAAGTTAAGCATGTGCATTTGCAAGATTGGGGCCTTATTAACATGCAAGTGTATTTATCAATAAAAATCAGAAAGATTAGCATGATAAAAAGTTAACTAGGTTGTTCTGGGAAATTTTCAAGACAATACCAACAAAATTTAGAATATCAACATTGGTTGCCTAATACCCTAAAACTGGGTTTTCTGTTTTCTTGTATAGAGAAACTCTACTTCGGTGATGAGTTCCACGGGCTGGAGGGAGGACTGGGGACGACAATCTTACATACTACTAGCCAAGAATTTTTCAAACGTCCTTCACTCTATTACATCCTGTTAATATCAATGCAAGTAATAACCCAAGTTTTTACCTTTGAATCAAAAGGTAATTTTTTCTTCACATGTGGAGCCCAGTACTTATTTGCCAACTGTAAGGGGAAAAAAAAAGTTTTTCATTAAACATATGGACAAATACACAACCATCTGTAACTAGTCTGTCTATTTTATAGTGAACCAAAATGTTTTTATTCCATATGCTAGCTAAATTTAATCTAACAGATAGATACACCTAATAAAAAGATGCTAAGTCATGCACCGCTCTGTAGATGATGTGGGAAGGTTCAAGTTTGATGAAAAACTCCGGAGTTTGAGAGCTCCGGAGCATGTTTCTCCTAAATCATCTTGATGGTGCAACAGGAAGGGCAGGTGGGCTCCCCACACAGTATGCATTGGTCATAGGCCTCCACCCAAGCAGATATTCTAAGACCTCCTGAGAAATTTCAGAGGTTTCAGGACATTCAGAAAGGGCCATGGGACTTCTGTTAAAGGCCTAGCACCTCCTCACTACTCCCCATCTCCTGCAAGGTTAATGAGATACGCTGCCACAGGCTCCATGGTCATCTCTGAGGAAGTTTCATTCTGAATGAAAGACAGGAGGATGCATTGGACAGAGAAGAACAGGAGTTCACATAAAACTGCTTAAAACCCACCTGTTTCATGATACATTCCAATTACACTGAACCTTCAGCCACAGTTATGATGTTCTGGTTATTCTGTACCATTACAAATTGTTTTCTTATAAAGTCCCTCAGGTCAGAGGACCTATTACTCGCTTGGCAGAGACCTTCCTGTTGTACAGCAGTATATTTCAATACTACCATATAATGACAACTTGAAAAATCCACTCCCCTACAATAAATAGAGAGCTTGCTCTACAAGTTTCATGAACATCTGCTGAGTCAAAAACTGCAACTAAAACTTAGATTGATCTAAGTATGTCGTTCAGGGGCATGAAGACATTCACACCCCTGAAAGACATAGTTAAGCTGACCTAAGTCCCAGTGTAGACACCACTGGGTCAATGGAAGAATTCTGCCTTTCCAGGGGGTGGATTTACTACAGAGATGGAAAAACCCCTTCTGTCGCTGTAGTAAGCATCTACACCACAGTGGCACAGCTACAGTGCTGCGGTTGTAAGGACTTGTAACATAGACATAGCCTCTGACGTTGCCTCTTCCCGTGCCGTCTCCCTTCACAGAACTTGGGCAGGCGTGCTAGGTGTGCATCCCCACAGGCTAGGTCTCGGGAGCCACAAAGAAGCAGCAAGGGACAAAAATCATGCAGGGCAGTGGGCACGATAGTGAAACGGTGACTGACTGTGTTCACTCAGTCTCTATTCATTGAGTGGGGTTGATATAGATGGGATGGGAGACAGAGGCAGGGATGAGGGCAAGATTTCATGCATCAATAGAGCTTTGTATAGTGACAGCTCATGCTTGGCTTTTGCAGCTGCTCTTGCAGAGGAATTGTCCAGGAGCCCTCGCCGGAGAAGCAATTGGCAGAGGTGGACCTGAGCAGCCTGAAAATCCTTCTTAGGAGACATGAACAGTCCTCAGCTTTCTGCCTTCCGCATAACTGGCTGTGAGTAAGCAGTCAGTGCTTTGAATTCCTCATCTGTACTTGCTGTCGTTTTCTTCACAGGCTGTGTGCTTCTTCGTTGGGTAGGGGGACCTGTGGGATTAAGGCTGGGGAAGGGACCAGAGTCTGCTGTGCAGCGTGACTATTTCAGGTGCAGTTGCAAGGGGTGCTTTTTAGCTGTAATACTTCCACTTAAAGAAGAATGAGATTTTAGCCCTCGTGGTTGTAATGATAACCTTTCAAACGTGACCCAACTGTGAGACAAAGCTACCATGTTGAGTCTGCTTACTGACAACTCAGATCATGTAATTAAAGAAACCCAGGCCAACCCTCCATTAAACCACTGAACCTCGTGCACTTAGACCGGGTCAGCCAAGGCTGCCAGTTGGTGGCGGGGACTGCAGGTGAGTGGAGGGAGAGTGCGAAAGGAGACAGGCCACACAAGCGTGCGAGGGAAGCACGGACAGACACGGTGTCGAACTGCCCAGGCGCTGTACACACCTTGCTCCATAAACCAGAGCAACGCGCTGCCTACAGAGGCCCCTAAAGCCAGGAGCTCAGCGGGATCAAACACTGCAAGGCCAAGGGGCTGACCCGCGCTTACACCGGGACAAACGTCTCCAAGGCCCAAACCCCCAGCCGCCCGAGGGGGGCCGTTAATCACTAGCCTCTGAATGAACTGGCCCGGGAGAGCCCAGGGCAACTAACGGGCCTGGCAGCGCAGGGCTCCCACCCCCCCGTGGCCGGTGCTACCCCTCGCCATGACGCTCGGCCGCAGTACGGGGGGGGAGGGGGGAGCAGATATTCCCCACCCCGGCCCCTCCCGCCCCTCACCTGGGTCACGAACTCCGCGTTGATCTGCGCCACAGTGGGCGCCACGATCTTCTTAGGCTGAAGCGAAGCCGCCGCCATGCCGAAGCGCGTAGGGGTCCCGGCGCCTCACACACTCACTCCCGTCTCCGCCCGGGAACCGGTCTCGAGGCACGATAGTTCTGTTCCGTCCCCCCGCCCCCGAATGGACTCTCCCAGCCAGAGCCTCAGCCAGCCCCGCTGAGTTACTAGCCTCTCACTGGGCGCTTGCCGCTTGGGTCAGGACAGCGGAAGTTTGGGGAGAAAACGGAAGCGGAATTGGCGTCCGGGTCACCATAGAATCTCCAGGGCTAGAGAGGCAGACCGGCGGGGTCATAGAGATCGAGCGCTCGTTGCTAGAGCGGCAGTTAGTGTAACTGCAGCAAGATGGTAATGGGCGCCCTCCTCCCCCCACACCCTCTCCTTTTTTTGGCCAGGTGAGTCGGCTGGGAGCCTGCGCTGCTGTGGGAGCCAGGAGTGTGGCAGTGACAGGGCACCATCCCATTCTACAACACAGCTCGGTCTCCTCCTTGCTCACACATCCCGCCCTGTGCCCTTACACCAGAGATTGGGGGCAGGTGCTGGGGTTGCCCTTTAACCCCATCGCACTATTCCAGGGACCAAAAGTACGAGGGGTAAGCAAGCGGTGCCCGGGGAGAGAGGCAGTAAGGGAGACCATGGCAGCGCCTGACCCCAGTGCTGCAAAGGAGAAGGCTCTCTCTCCAACAGTGATAAGGCAACGCCTAGGGACCAAGAGGCTAGTGATACCAGCTGTGAAGAGGGAGCAGAGCAACAGGAGTGAGAGAGCTCAGCTACCCCAACCCTATTTCTAAATAGAGCAATTTTCATGTATCATTAGTGATTCGTTTTTCTTCCACACCTTCTGCCAACATAACTCACACCCACAGCACCATCCCACTGAGTGGTTGGATAATGTGAGAGTTGAATGAGTCAGCAATGGTAGCTAACTAAGACCCAATGCTTTAATTCACACTTTAGAGGCTCATAGTTATTGCACTATAGGTCCCCGGTTCAAACTCATGTCAGGCCAAACAGTGTCAGTTATACCAGCAGATCTCTGTCAGAGGAGAGACACAGTAATACTACAATATGGAGGAAATTTTCAAGCTCTATTGTCAAGGGGACAAATTCTCATCTCAGTTATGCATATACAGCTGTGAAGCAGTGCCAAGGAAGTGCTATTCCTGTCAGATTTTGGAATTGGGTTGGACAGAAGAAAGTCTCCAGCAGATTGGGAATTCACGGCACAGAATCTGGCCCAGGAACTTCCAACTCTTTGTGCTTAAAATAAATGAATCTTGTCACCTTTTTATATATGCTGTACGCTATTTTGTGTTAATGGCTGTGGTGTTAAATTTTACATTTTTAAACACATATTTCAATATGCCAACACTACATGCAGGATAAAACCAACTGTGCTGGCATCTTAAAAGGTTGTGACATTAAATTGTATAAGATTTTAAGCCTGTTTCCTGATTTTGCATTTGTAGTATGAAGAATATAGAATAATAAGAAATAGATAGTAGCTTGATGTAGAACAGCAGTAAATTCACCTCTAAAACAAGTGAAAAAACACTTATCCGAGTGATCTGAGCAACTTAAACTCATGGTGGAACTATAACTTTGAATTCCTTGATGTTCTTAAATTAAACTTCAGATTATTTTTTAAAACTCATATCAAAACTACATTTATTTAAATTTCAGTCCTACCTATTCATTTTAGATTTTACCATGTACTACTGTACCCCAGAGCCAGAATTATCCTTTAGAAGTGAATTATTTCATTGTCATCTCATTGCGAGTTGCTCCTGTTCCATCATTCATTTAATAAGCCTTATCTCCTATCTCTAAGAGATCTGAAAACATCTCTTAGGTGTTACGGTAATACACAATAATAATGTAAGATCCCTAATTTGAGTTCAGATGTACAGTAAAATTTTGTGTCTGGATATATAGTGAGCCTGATTCACATTGAGTAGTATGTTATGATGCTCTGCACTAGTACTTTGCAATCCACCTCAAGTAAAGGACAGAGCAAAGCTGTGTTATTCCAGGAGCAAATTAGGGACTGAACTGCAACTTTGACAGTCATAAAATGATTCCCTCCCCTCCCCCCCCCCCGACTCCTTGGGGGCCTTTTTCTGACACAGCTTGCTTCCCTTTCTGGTACTGAGCAGCTTATTGGGGTGGGCTGCACAGCCCAGGCTCCATCTATTCCTGTTTCTGCCTCTTAGAAGTATCAGCCCAGTGGCAGCTCTTCCCCACACTGCTGCCAGCAATATGGGAAGCCTGCACAAGGAAGTCCTTAATGACATATATATAATGGAACCAATATTGTTAGATGATAGGTTTTTAATGCAAATCAAAGTAAAATATTGCTATCAAGAGTGATGTCTAGCTGACAATCACCACAATATAAAACTTTTTCCAGTCCAATATGCAGTAATTGGGTGTCAGAGTTAGGGAACTTGGAAAGATACAATGAATTATGGATACAGATATAGATGGATATAGTGCAATAGTAGATGTATGGGTGGGAATTGGTATGTCTGCCATTTTCAGTTACCACAAATATGAGCAGAATATGTATCCCTTGCAACTGCCTAAATCTCATTAAATGTAAGGCTATTGATTAAGGTAGGATAAAAGGAAATGCCTGTTTTACCCATCACACTGGGTTCCATATTATCCCACACGATGCACCATTACTTTTTGTAACATGACAAAATTGTACCAAAGATGTAAAGAAACTGACAATCTTCCCGTTGGGTAAAAAGGGCCAAGAGTAGTGAAATAATTATATGAACCTGGGAGTCCTGCAATTCACAGAGTCCTGAAAATGATTTTCAGCAACTCACTGCAGATCTATGGAACATAATTTTATAAGTAACTATGGCAGGAGGGCATATATTTCCCTTCTCAGTAAACAGATAATACTGTGACATCAAGACATTCTAATGTAAATATTGTATTTTTCTAAAACCACTTAAGATTCATCTGACTTCAGTTCCTTTAAAATAAAGTATGGGGGGTGGGGAGAGTAATTCAAAATGTGTATTATGTTTGCAGTTAAGAAACAGAAGCAGACAAAATATTTTCTACACAGCAAGCTGGAGACTTCTGGGATAAATATTTTTCCACAGCAACTAAAGGAAAATGTGGAGACATGGAACCTGCAAACACCAATCCCAGCCAAGTAAACTGGTTTATGAGTTGTCTAAACATTGGTAGTTTTTGTTTCAGTTTTTAAAATACCATAATCCTTCAGTGACAGCAATAGAAATCCTTAGCGGTGCCAGAAATATCAACTGTCAGTAAGTGTTGTCCTCCGTGGTATATTACTTACAATAATACAGGATGCTTTCTTGTAATAGGCATGTTTCCATGGTGCACAGGAAACTAAAGAAATGGTAAGCTTAGTCAAAAACCAACTAACCACTATGCTCACGTCTTTATATGGTAATTCATCTGGATCCCATTTTTAATTTCACCACAATTCTCAATCTTCTCCTTCAGAAAGAAATGGATAGTGAGTGTCTTTCAAACTGATTTTCACTGAGTTTCAACTTAAGGCATCCATTTAGTATCCTTTACCTGAAGCAAGACAGCAGGGTCCAGGAGACCTGTGCTCTTTAATGTAGGCTTCTAGCTCTGTCTTTTTCACAATTATACATGAGCACAAGTTCTTTGCGGGGCATCCCTCTGAGAAGCTCTTCAGTATTAGGGAACTTCACATGTGATAATATTCAAGAGGACAAGCCCATCACACATGCACATACTTTTTTAAAAAAAATCTTGGAAGGAAAATGCCTACCAATATGCAGCAGTTTTTAATTAAGAAAGCCCAATAACATCAAAGAGCTTCGGAAACGTATTGAGGGGGTGGGGGAAAGAGAATGTTATTTAAATGATATGCAAAGGAGAGGGACAGTCTCTTTAAGGAGGGGCAGGGACTCCACAGGAATCTTGTCTGTGGAGCCTGATGGATAAATGTGCGGAATCAACCAGCTCTCGGTAATCTGAGATCATATGTGAAAAGGTGGCAGGCATTAGAACTTTTCGAAAAAGATCACAAGAATCTTTTATATTGGAAAGTGTTAGGCAGCCTAACAATAGGGGATGCTACTAGCTCCCCCTCTCATAAGCTTTGGTTTTATTTTGGTGGGACTCAGTACCCACAGAAAAGAAGCCACTACTGAGTTTATTCCAATTCAATAGTGTGTCACATTGTTTTTATTGATGTGTGTATTTAATTCCAGTAGTTTCATTCTGGGTACATCTCATTAAATAGTGAATGTGGGTACTTTCAAACATGATGCCTCAGTTTAGTAACAGATGCTTTTTAAAATATTTAGGATTTTCAAGTGTAAAGAAGCCTACAACGATGTTCTGGTTTGTTGTATAAAAATGTAGGACACATTCTGGGCAGTGTTCTGCCCTTGATTCTTATGTGCAAAACTTACATTAACTTTACTGAGAATTCTGTCCTCCTGACTGGACTATGACTGATCAGTAGGCCAGATTCTGAGGTGTGCCAGCTGAGCGAGGGGTATACCTAATGAGGGGAACATAGGTTACTGCATGCCACTTTAGCTTCCCCTACCCTAGGGATTGATTTGGCTTCCAGCTCAAGTTAGAACAGCCTCAGAACTGTTTTAGTTTTCTTAGCTTGTGATATCTCCTCAGCGGGCATTACATAGGCTTTGTCATACTGGATCAGACCACTGGTCAATCTCACTCAGAATCCTATGTCGGACAGTGACCAGTACCAGTTTCTCCAAAGGAAGGTGCAAGAAAGCCCACAGCATGCAGTTATATGGTAACTTCCCGGGAGAGAGGTACACTTCCTCCAAAAACAATTATTTGTTGGGGGGCTGTCTGTAAGCAAGGACTGGCCTGTCTCCCAAGGTCTGTGAGAGTGAGGGAACCTAAAGCAAATACCAGCAACTACACACCACCCAACAAAAAAACTAACCCAGGAACCAATCCCTGCAACAAAGCTTGTTGCCAACTCTGTTCTCATATCTATTCAAGGGACACCATCATAGGACCTAACCACATCAACCACACCATCAGGGGCTCATTCACCTGCACATCTACCAATGTGATATATGCCATCATGTGCCAGCAATGCCCCTCTGCCATGTACATTGGCCAAACCGGACAGTCTCTACACAAAAGAATAAATGGACACAAATCAGACATCAAGAATTGTAACATTCAAAAACCAGTAGGAGAA